CAGATGTTGTTTTGCAATTTGTTTAGAAAAACACAGTCATCCACAAAATGTAAATGTCAGGATTTTCATTAAATAATACGTTGAGTTTCAGTTTATTTTTCACCAAACCCCTATTATACATCACAATAATACAAAGAAATATGTTTTTTTAAAGTACAAAAAAAAAACAAAGTATTAGGAACAACTTAAGCATAAAGCGTGTATTTTTCATTATCATTTCATAATTATGTCCTTAGGGCTCATTTAAACATTGTTTTACCTTACAACCTTACAGGCACTCATTAACATTGGGGAGATTCTGAAAGCTGCAGGATGTGGATATGAAAACGGTCAGTCATTGAGCTTAACCTGCTTTTCCTGTCATGATATTCCAAGTTTTCAGGCACTTTATAAAGTCAAATATATATTTTTTTGCAGTGGTCAAGGCCACAGTGCTGATGACAGACATTAATGAATTCAATACCGTCAACGATGTTTACAAGCAATGTGAGTATGAATAAATGAAGGACTCATAATCCACCACAGTGTCACATTTAACCCTAAACACACAACCACAAACTTTCCTTACACTTTTAATAGTCTAGTTAAGCTAGAAACCCACATAATCAGGAATGATGTTGGCATAAATTGCTGCGGTTTCAAAAACACACGACTCCTGTTGATACCTTCCCTAAAATACCTTTGCTTCCCATCATGCACTTGGGTGATAATTCTTCAAGCAAGTTATTGATTATTCAAATGTCACACAATGATGCCTCCGTGTGGCCCTCCGGGTATTTCCTCTTTAATACAATGGTGATGGGTAATCCTATCCTGTCTGCGTGTAAAAGGATATAGTGCAATTCTGTGAAACGAATGCCTCCTCTGCAATGAGGACAGCCCATCATCTCTGCCTCCACCTCACTGAACTTTCCATGACATGCAAAACCTACAGCTTGAACAAACACTCGTGCCGACTCTCGCTTTAATACTCATCATGTAATTGATTAGACATATGAATGTAGTGATGAAGGATTGTTTTTATTATTTCACAAGACTTGAAGTTGTCAATTTATTTACATTCTGTTGTTTTTCTTAGTTTTCAAGAGCAATTTCCCAGCTAGAGCTGCTTATCAAGTCGTGGCCCTGCCCAGAGTAAGTATTAAAGATCCAGTGAAATTAACATAATGTTTTTTAAATGTTAGCATTAGTATGTTTGTCTTCTAAGGATATCTATAAGCTAGTGTGGTACAAAACAATGACAACATTCACATTTAAAATATATAAAACTGATGTAAAGCTTGTAGTTTGCCACTATATGGATCAACTTTTTTTTCACATCACCGCATACCTCAGTTTCTCATCAAATCTTGACCAATCAGATGCTCTCTAGTATCTGACATGCCCCGCCCTCTTCAAGATGCTTGACATTTTCTTTTCATTTGATGCTCTTGAGCTCAACCACTCTCACCGGCAGAGCTGCGATAAAACAAAACCCTATTGGCTGCTGTTTTTAAAAGGGAGGAGCTAATCTCTGTCCTGCCCTCTTTATGTTTTTTAGTTGAGATTACACCAATAATCGAAATAAAAAATGCATATTTCAAACCACTTCACAGGACCTTTAAGAGCAGACTAGTTGAGGCATTTGCCAAGACAACCAGTTAACTATTGATCATAAATGAATTGTTGAAGCCATTTCTATGGATGTAATAATATTTAGAGTTTTAGTAAAGTCCATGTGTTGCAAATGAAATGTAGAAATTGTAATGTGAACAGTAACCAGTGATGTAGCATAACGTAATTTGATTGATTGTTATATTTAGAACCCCGCGAATCAGTCAGAAGGCACTGGACTTTAGAGTAACACAGTCTTTTGACCAATGCTAACTGCAAAGTTAATTTGTAAGAAAATAAATAAATATAATATTTAAATATAATAAATATCCTACGTATTTATGCTTTAAGATTTACAATTAAACAGTCAAACGAAGAACTTTGGATTCAAGACCGTTGTTCACTGACACTTTTGTGTTGAGTACAAAAGAATCCTAAAGTCCTAAGCTTTAAGTCCTAAGTCGGCCTATTGTGCTTGCAGGAATTTTTTTTATTTGTTGAAAATGAAAGACGCTGATAATGTTAAGAAAAAAATTATGTCAAATAACTGCAGCTGTATTAAAATACTTGTAGAATACATTGTAGAATCTTGTTGGAGAATGATGTATTATAGTTTGCTCATTTATTTCCAAAGAGCAGCCAATCAGGATCACATGACTGATTAAGCAGTTGCAGGAGTAATATATAAAAAAAAACTGTTATTTTATATTTTAATATTATCTCTAGTCTGGACCACATAACCAGTCCTAATTTGACAAGTATATTTTTAGAAATAGCCAAAAAATACCTTGCATTGGTCAAAATTATTGATTTTTCCTGAACTATGAACTAAAGATCATGTCTCATGAAGATATTTTGTAAATTTCCTAATGTGAATATATCAAAACATATATAGATATTTTTAATTAATATGAATTGCTAAGAGCTTAATTTGGACAATTTGGTAAAGGTCATTTAAAAATGTTTACCCAGATATACAAAAAGTTCAATACATACTGTAACACCCACTATGCTACTTTAATGGTTGGGTTTAGGGTTGGTGTACATATTAATAACACACCATGTAATGAGCACTTCAATAATTAAAAGAAAGTTCACATTTCTCGCAATAATTGCCTATGCATGCACGGTCACTACATATTGGACCTGATCCAATACACCATCATGCTGCAGCGAGGACACACTCAAATATTGTCCTGTCATAACAAACCATACATCTAATTTATAAAGCTTTCCATAAAATCATAAACGTGATTCAGGAGGGTTTTCACTGTATTTTTATGAACAACAAGACCTCTAAAAAAGAAAAAAAAATGGTCTAATAAACTTTGCACTACTAAAAACACCCATTAATATTAATAATAATAATATATAGCCTAATTTACAAACTTCTAAATCATCTATTTTCAGATCATGGAATGTCTGAAAATTTACAAGCTGTAATCTGGAAAATGTTTGTGTGTGTGTGTGTGTGTGTGTGTGTGATGACTCCACTAATATTTATAAAATGCAGTAAAATATAGTACTTGTGCTTTAACTTCACTCTGTTCCACAGGGGGGGCTTGTTGAGATTGAAGCAGTCGCTGTACTGGGACCAATTACAGAGGCTTCCTGACTATATGATCCCAGCATGCGTCACAAATTGTAAATACAGTTCGTTTTTTGGAGATTAACCACATAACGCATTACAAATTCCAGCATGATTGGATGACCATAGAAAGAAAAACATTCCCTTCCATCATCTGAGGCCTTTTTCACTAATCATTAAAAGATTTTTACTTTGTGATTTATTGTTGATCTTTCATCATTATATGGACTTGATTACAGTAACCATTCAAAACAACGTTTAAGTTAAACTTTATTTGTTAACTCCAACAAATCTGTCAATATCACATGAGATCCAACCACACCACAAAATATTTCCTCCATTCGTAGCGTTCTGATCTCTTCTGTTTTTCGCTGGAAAACATTAGCATACATATAATATAGGTCTGTTTATCAAATATTGTCATTGTAAATGTATACAACATGTAATTATGATTTTTATGATTACAGTAACAGTTTAAACAATATACATATATAAATAACATTTATTTGAACAATTTCCATTATTTATTTATTTTTTTGGCTATTTGCAACTTTTTTTCAGGTGGTACAGCTAGGCCTGTCACAATAATCAATATATTGACTTCTCGCACAACACACGGACATGACCTCAAAATAAAAAACAATTCTAGCAAAATTTTAACATTGCACAGCTTCTCTATCTCTACTGGGGGTGTCAGTATGATAAAAAACACTATAGCATTTATATAAATTACTATAGTATATTTTCATGTGGGTGCCTGATAACACAAATGCAAAATAGATCTGGTAGCAGATATCACAGCCTCTGTTACTGTATACCTTGCACTTTTTGTTAACATTTATTATTTATTTATTTAGGATATGCGTTTTCACATTTTGATTCCAATGGCAAACTATTGAATAGTTCAAATTAACTTTAATTAATATTCTTATGAATAAATATGATGTGCTCTTTTGAAGACTGTACTTGCATCGTGATGACATTATATTGTCCTTCTGGCATTATATAATTAGTGCCATAAAATGACAGTAATATTGTTTATCGCAACATATTTTGGTGCAATATATTGTACAACAAATATTGATATCATGACAGGTCTAGGTACAGCTTCTCAATGAGCCACTAATATGAAATGTTAGGAAGGGAAAATTAATTGAAGGCAGCCATTATAATTCACAAAACTATAACTGGGGTGCTTGTATTTAGTGTACATAAAGACAGGCACAAAGTCTTTAAAGACCACATGGTCTATATCTTGGCAACAGACAAGCAATATCTATAATATACAGTTGAAATCAATATTATTCACCCTCCTGTCATTTTTTTATTCTTTTGCAAATATTGAGCAAATGATGTTTAACAGAACAAGGAATTTTTCACAGTATTTCCTACAAAACTTTTCTTATTATTTGTTTTATTTTGGATAGAATAAAATCAGTTTTTAAATTTTTAAAAAACATTTTAAGGTCAATATTATTAGCCCCCTTTAGCAATATCTTTTTTTTTTTTCGATTGTCTACAAAAAAAACATCATTATATAATGACTTGCCTATTTAACCTAATTAACCTAGTTAGGCCTTTAAATTGCACTTAAAACTAGTATCTTGAATAAATATGTACATGTACTGTCATCATGGCAAAGATAAAACAAATTAGTTACTACAGATTAGTTAATAAACTATTATGTTTAGATTTGTGTTGGGGGAAAAAAATCTCTCTGATAAACAGAAATTGGGGGGGGGGGGGGGGGTAGGTATAAAGGGGGCTAATAATTCAGGAGGGCAAATAATTCTGACTTGAACTGCATATAAACTAATGTTCAATTTTATATTTAAACCATTCACATGAAATCCAAAAACAGGTGGTAAAATTTGGATCCTGTAGTAGCCATGCCAGTTAATGCACATTTAACCATCTTGACCAGAGGCTGAAAGAGAATAATGGGAAATCAGATGTTTATCCTCACAAGAAGCTGACGTTGTTAGATCTGTCTTTGCATCATATTACCCTACTTACCTGGTGTTTCCTCTGGAGGAGAGGATTCTGCTTGATCTACAGTTGCGTTTTCTGTGAAAATAGAGATGTAATCATCATTAATTAAAACTCCATATGTTGTTTCTAATTTTCAATTTCAACTTTAGTCATGAAGTTGCAAACAATATAGACACAGTCCATCACTTGACAGCAACGTTTCGGCATCTAGATGTGGTCATCCTGACGTAGGCATCTAGATCTGCTTAAGTTCAAACTGAGCATCAGAATAGGGAATAAAAGAGATTTTAACATATAATGGTTGTTGGTGCCAGACGGGAAACTGCTGATCTACTGTGATAAACTTACACATCTGTCTTTAGGGTTTACAGAGAATGGTCAGAAAAAAAGAGGACAAAGTGGCCTTGTTGTTGCCAGATATCACTGGAGAAAGATCAGACAGTTTCAAGCCGATAGAAGCTGAAATAATCACCTTTTACAACTGCAGAAGAGCATCTCTGAACACACAACATGCCAAAACTTGAAGCAGATGAACTACAGCATCAAAAAGGTCCATCCTGGGGTTTTTAATCAACAGTTTGTGCTTCTGCTGGTGATGTAATGGTTTGGGGTTTCATTTTCTTGGCATGCCTAGAACAAGCTAAGCATCATTGAAGCTCCACAGCCTACAAGTGTACTGTTGCAACCCAAATCCATCCGTACAGCGTCCATCTTGTAAAGGCTGCTTTTAAGCACTCCACTGTCCGCAGATCTCAATCCAAAGCGAGGTTTATTTTCTCTGGTCTCTAATGATGGGTTAAACCTAGTATAAAATGTTCTCAATTCACCTGCTGAGTCCAGAAGATGCATGATTTGATTTTGTATTCTGTTCTGTGTTTTTTTCATTATGTATTTGGAAATGTCAAAGCTTTTTTTCCACATTGCACCCAACCGACCAAGGTATTTGCATCAGTGAATAATCTGTCATTTACATTTGAAATTCAGACGGCGAGGCATGTCGTGGCCCTCGCCACATTGAAGATTTGCCCAAAAGAAGGACTGTTAAGAATCCACTACTCCAAATTCAGTTGTTTGTAATAAATCTACAAGGACAAAATTAAACTTGTTGGTCTAATTGTGGATTCAAGCAACACAATATCAGCCCAATTTTTGTGTTTAGTGTTTGATGAGGGTATCGGGTTAATTCAGAAATGGGCAAAACTGGGTATCTAAATAAAAAAGTATCATTTTGTCGGCGCAATAGCCTAGTGGTTAGCGCGCCGACATATGGTGCAATAGCGAGTTCGAATCCCGGCTCGAGGACATTTCCCTACCCTACCCCCTCTCTCTCTCTCTCTCCCACTTCGCTTCCTGTCTCAATACTGTCCTATCTAATAAAGGCAAAAAGGACAAAAATAAATCTTTTAAAAAAAAAGGATATTTTTATCTAGTGCAGTAAAGTGTCATTTGAGTCATGTATAAGCAGAGGTCAGAGCCAGCTCCAATTGGGCAGGTCTGCTTCAAATAGGCAGGACTTGAGCTTTAATTGTTCTGTACAAAATTTCTTGAGGCTTTTGATTGATTTATATGTCTTAATAGTCTACCTATTGTGTTTTATTAACATCTACCCCTTACAGTAATTCTTGTTTACATGGTCACAAAAATTACACTATACTGATAAACTACAAATGCGCACCGCATACCTAAAAGCCACAGCTATATCCAATCTAACCTTAAACCTGTGTTTTAAGTCCATCCCACTTAAGGTGTCCGGGCTGCAGTTATACCAAAGACTATACAATACACAAGACATGTCACTCATATATATTTGAATGGGGAAAACTAACAGTCTAAATGGGAAATGAAGCATCACCTACTAGTACAGGAGCCAATCATTGATCGGTATAGACCAGTGGTTCTCAAACGTTTTTCATCAAGTACCACCTCAGAAAACAATTGTGTCTCCAAGTACCACCAAAATGAGCAGTATTGAAATACAGTAGTGCAGTAGGTACAGTAAAGCAGCTACAACTCTGCACAGTTAAAAAACGTGGCAGATTACCTCAGAAATATAGGCTATATGTCATATATGACATATTATATACATCATTTTTGATAAATTTTGTAATGTGTGTAGCATGTACATGACATATTTCATTCCTCCGCGTACCACTAGTGGTACACGTACCACAGTTTGAGAACCACTGGTATAGACTGATGATTCTCCGGAAGAGACAAATGGACCAGATGTGATTTTCTGCAGATTTTGTGTCAATCGAACATTTAGAAATGAAACTGAAGAGACAGTTGTTGTATAATTTAAATAATGATCATATTATGAAATTTAATCGGACGCTTGGCAATCTATTTTGTAGAATTTGATGTTACCCCATTCAAGCAGAATCCCCGAGCATACTGCCTGCAGAGGCGGTTTAAAGATGGCCATCAAGTGAAATGACTTGCCTTGCCAGGGACTTACACACACTTGTGGTTACATCTGGGATATCTCTGTTTAAACAGCTTTCAAACGTGAAAATATCTATTATTATGGGGAATTACTATGGGAAAATCATGAGATTTGTTTCTTATGGGGGCTTTTCTGATAAGACAGCAAGTACAAAACTAAGGACGGCTATATCTCTCCATAATATTAAACCCTGAAAACTGTTATGGAACTCCACACGAGACAAGACCACGAGAATGGTCAGGCACTAAAACAATAAACGTTCTAATCTGAGAAGAAGAGCAGCTAGGAAACCAGTTGTTCAGGTTGTCTCGATCATGCATCCCCCCTCCTTTGGACTTTACCTTCTCCACCAGAGCAGCTCCACACGGAATGTCCAAGTTTTTAATATGGTATATCTTATGGCTCTATATTCATGTTTGGTGTCATTTTAAAGGTCTCTGTGTGATTGGTAAAGTGGTTCTAATTTCACTGTAATATTTTACAATCTCTCTTATATCGGTTAATTTGGGTTTTGACTTTGATAAGATCTTTGCCAGATTCTCTACTCCAGGGAAAATGGTCTTCACATCAACTCATGACCAGGCAAGAGTCTTGGTGAAGCTTTTATTGTCTTGACATTGTGGTAAATTAAGTATTTAAGGGAAATGTGGAGAAGTGTCTGTGGGATTCTGTAGCCAGGATAACCCGTTGCCGTGTATAAGTCTCTGAGCACTGAATGTATTTCTACATGGTCAGGTATTAATCTCTAACTTATAAATGTATCTTTGAGTAATTGATGTTGTACAATCTTAATTGGCTTTTTTGTTTAATTGTGTGAACTGGAATGGAATATCTTTGTCTGAAAAATTTATGTAAAATTGTAAAATAAATGTAAAGTCTAGTAGATTGTTTAGGCTGATGTTTCCACAGCCTACGGCCAGAATTAGTCATACATTCAGGCTCAATGGAAGGAGCATAGGCAGAGCATTAAAGACCTGTTGATTTCTGACAATCACTGACTTGGTATGATATAATCTAGGGGCTAAATCAAACTTTCTCTAAGTATGAGCAAGCATGGGGGCGGCCTATTATTACTTAAAGGAAATTAGCTTACAGTTATATCTTCTAGCTAAGCTAAATCAAACTTTTTTTTAAGTATAAGCAAGCATGGGCGGCCTATTATTACTTTAGAAATTAGCTTATCTTCTATCTAAGAACCAGAACTGGCGAGGATGTGTCTGTGAGCAGATATAACTGGCCAGCATACTGACTCAAAACGACTTTGGGTAAATCAGCTTGAATTAGATTAAACTAAATTTAAAAATTATTATAAATTGGAGTCAGATTAAAATTCGGAGTTGGAAACAAATTAAAATAAATTAATGAATAAAATTATTTCTTTTCACATTTGCTAAAAAGGCTTACACGCATTTAACCTTCACCCATGCTGTTAGTTCCGTCATAGGACTAATAGATGGACCCTTACAAAACCCTACAGCTATAGCCATAGATTGTTTATGCACTCTTTCTTGAAGTCTGTCACTAGTTCTGCCTTTTTGATGACATCACACATCATTAAAGATGGCAAGCAACATTTAGTCAGGAATCGATGTGTGGTTTGATGTTTCTAATGCACAACATGACACGCTTCAGAAATAAAATTGCATAATCTGACTTACATGACAAAAATACTGTGTAGTTTGAACCCGACATTACTACTAAAACCATTAATAACCTGGATTTAGTAGAGTATCTTTTCAAGATTCAGTTCATCGCAACATTGTCAGACCATCAGATAGAAGCGTATTTGTATGCTAGAAATACTAGAAAAAGTTTAGTTACAAGGGTTGGAAAATAACACTATGAAATGGCCACAGCCATATCCCCCTGCAGGCAAAGACCGGCTACTCACTGAAGCAAGGCTGATTCTGGTCAATACCTGGATGGGTGACCTCATGGGAAAACTAGGTTACTGTTGAAAGTTGTGTTAGTGAGTCCAATGGGGGTGCTCAAACTGTGGCCTTAGAGTCCTAATGCCCCAGTATAGTGAAGGGAACATTATACTGTCAGTGAGCGCCTTCTTTCGTATGACGCCTGTTTCACACCGCAAGCGTCAGCGGCGCGTGAGCAGAGCGTGAGCAGCGCGTGTGTTTTCGGCGTCCATGTTAACAGATTAGAGCTTTCATACCGCACGCAGCAGCAGCGCGTCAGTGCGAGGCGTGAGCGTCGCCGAAGCAGCAGTGCAGCGATAGTTTCGGCGCTGGGTCTATTTTTGACGCGCTGCTCACGCTCAATTAAAGTGACAGTGCATTGATAATGACCAAAACACAATGAATGACAGTAAAAAGTAGCAATTTTACCCAATAAATACGTTGATAACGTCAAATGGTTTATATATAGTCATTCAAATGAACTTAAAACGATTAAAAACGGCAACAAACATTTATTTAGGCCCGAACTACAAAACCACATGTAAAACAATTTTAGTATCAGTTTTGCTTAAGTTGCACACTAGTGTTGTAGGAGAGGGGAAATAGAATATTTACGGGATTTGTAGTCCATAGTGAAGTGTATTGTGGGTAGTGTAGTGCGACACGCATACTGGATTATGTGAGCTCGCTGTGTGCTGTGCAGCTGAGCAGAGGAAGAAAGTTTTAATCGGCTTTGTTTTATGTTCACTCGAGTTATTCCTACTGGGAGCTGTTTGCACTGTGAATCTGACAACTTGAAAATAAGTAAAAGAATGGCATGCATTGGTAACTGTTGTCCGTTTCATCATCTGCACGAGCATGAATTAACGAGCTGTTATTCTGCTGCTGGACAGATGAAAAGTTTAAAAAGTGTATTTGTATATAGAGAGACATGGGTAACTCGATAAAATAGACAGAGATAGGTTGATCTCTGCAGCAGCTGCCGAAGAGCTGCGCGCTGCAGACGCAGCTGGTGTGAAAGGCAAACGCCTGCGTGCTGCTACTGCTCGACTTATACGCGCTGCTCACGCTCTGCTCACGCGCCGCTGACGCTTGCGGTGTGAAACAGGCGTGAGACGTTAAAACCGAGGTCCTGACTCTCTGTGGTCATTAAAAATCCCATGGCACTTCTCTAAGGATGTAATCTCTGTGTCCTGGCCAAATTCCCTCAGTCGGCCCAAACCCATCATGGCCTCCCAATCATCCCCATCCACAGAACTGGCTCTATCACTGTCTCTCCCCTCCACCATTAGCTGGTGTGTGATGAGCGCACTGGCGCTGTTGTCCTGTGGCTGCCGTCGCATCATCCAAGTGCACACTGGTGTTGCTGTGGAGAGACCCCGTCATGATTGGGGAGTGCTTTGGGTGTATAGCCATACACAACAAATGCGCTATATAAATACACATTACATTTATGAAAGGCAGAGTTGAATTATTGGATCAAGAACAGTTAGTAGGACACTTTCCAGCTTACTTAAAGTACTCTGCCATCACCTTTTGCTTTAAGTGTAATGTTAAGTATAAATGTGTAAAATGGTCAACTGATACAAAGTTACTTCAAGCCCTCAATGCTAAAGTGAATGATAGAGGTGTTTTGCATCTAGAGATACATCCCTCAAAAGTACCAAAGTCATTTGCATATACAAGCACCCACGCGAGGAAGAATACAATGTATCTTAAGTGCAAGAATTGCTCTGAGCCTGGTTTTTAAAACACTGCAGTTACTGTTCTTTAAGCAATAAAACCTGGGGAAAATATCATTTAAAATGTGAACAATACCACTGGGTGCTGGATCTTCAGTATTTTCAGCTGTGGCAGACGGGTTGGATTCAGGCTGGTCGGGGTTGGACTCTGCAACAGCTGCTTCAGGTTCGGTGTGAGCTGAAGCAGCAGCAGAGCATTGGACTTCTTCATTTAGGTCTAGGATTGTCTCAGTGTCTCCTGCAGGGCCGCCATTTTCATTACTCGTTCCTTAGAGATTAATACAAATAACAAGGTAATTAAATGTCAACCCAAAGGAAAATGGTTTTATTACTTAAGATTTGATTTAAATCAGCAAATAAAATTATATAGAATTTTTGTAAGTACTAAAAAATTACCTTAAATGTTATTTAAAATAAAAACACACAGCAAAATCATTATATAAAATCGATACATAAAAAAATAACTCTGTCAAAACCTACAGCCGCATATTAATCATAATAAAATAGCATTTTGACTATTTACCCCTAACATGATTATCCTAATCAAAGTAATAATAGTAATACAGTGCATTGTCACTATTATCGGCCTAATATCTTACTGATCACACATTTAGGCAGATTTTAAATAGCTTACAACAAGGCTTATATACATTTTGTGACCAAAAATTCACTTGAAAACTGAACAGATTTAAAACAGCCATGATACACACGTGTGATTATTCTCAGTCTTTTTCATAACTGCATATTGAAATGTTATATAAAGCTGTCTCAAAATGCTGTATCAATATGGCTCAATTTAAATGTCATTTAATAATTTTCTCATCAGCCAGTATGAGTTTAGTATCTGAGTGTAAAGTATACTCGGTTCAACACATTTTACTATATTTAAATACTTTCCACAGAATTCTCGTCTCATAAACACAATGTTTTATGTCATGACCTTTCTCATATTCTGTATCAACAAGTTAACTCTTACATAAGTGACCTTTAAAATACATGAGGAAACCCTTAAACTAGTCTATTGTTGATTAATTTTATGACACTGTAAGCAATACATGGACATCCTGGATAAATGATGAAAGCTGAAGTGCTTAGAGAGAAAGGATGCACTAAAGCAGGCAAACTAGCAGAGGTTTATGACATCAGACCTCTGATCAGACTGAAAGTACACAACATTTACATGAAACCTTCTTCTCAGCTCCATATATAACACTATTTGTTTAAATGCCACCGCTGACATGCATCAGGACACATGATGGGGCTCAGGATCTCCTCTGACCACCCTCTTAAAAATATAATATCTTTATTAGCATCAGTGAAGATCTTTTAATATCCGCAGAACATTTACATTAAGCAAAGCGTTCTGTATGTTGTTAAAAATTCAAAAATAGAAAGAAATTTTTAAGGTCAGTGAAATGAAAAGTGTAAATGTTTCTTCTATGGCACCACTCTAAAAACAAAAAACTTATGTTTTTATACTTTAAGTTCCACAAATTCACAACAATGATGGTTCAGAGAATAAACATAATAGGAACAAGAGAAAATTAAACTTCCCTGATTGGTGTAACAGAAAATGTATCACTAATTAGCCATTTTATAATGCTTTTTAAACATGTGGATGCATATTATTTGATTGTTCATTTAAAATAATACATTGTATTTTTATGTACACAAGTTGTTCAAAACTGTTTTTAACATGTATTTTAATAATAATACATTTTATTTGTAATGCACTTTTCTCAGACTCAAAGCTCTACAAGGCAAAGAACTAAATAAAACAGTGAAGAAAACAGTAAAACATTCCAACAATAAACACTACAATATTTATATTTTTACAATATTTATCTATATTTTAATTTAACAACACAATTATTAGGTCATCCAGTGAATTCACATAACCACTAGTTTTTGGTAAGTCAGGATGTTGCGTTACATAAAATACTTGTATATTACTGTCCTGATATTTTATATTTAAAAGCAGAATCTGGAATCTGAAGTTGTCACCTTAACCATAAAACATGCATTTCTTCATACTCGTTTGAAGTGTAATGTTTTAGTATCTGGGCAAGCCATTTAACCTTAGGATTCACCAGAGAGACTTTCAGTGTAATGAATACTGTAGTTCCTCTGGAAGAGAAACTGGAGTCAAGTAGATCTAAACTGCATGGCGAACTGATGACAGCCCTCTGGATAAGGATCTGGGTGACTTACACAAAGGTTGAGTGTTTCATTTCAAGTTAGTGTGAGTCCGGATCCGAAAAGTAACTAAAACAAAATCATCCCATCATCCATTTTGTCATTGCTAGTGCAGTATACATTATACTTGCATGGTCAACATTGACACAAATACATGAAATGCTTCCTGAACCTCAAGAAAGTCCAGAAAAAAAGACAAATAAAGCTCAAATGGGAATTTGTGTGCTGTTAAGTCTTACCTGCTGCGCATCCATCGTGTTTGGGTCTTGTTGTGTCTTGAGCTGTGGTCTGAGTGCTGGAAGTGCAGCCCATCGTGTCCTGTTCCTCTGACAGGACTGAAGTCGAGCACTTGACAGTGAGTGTTATCGTCACACATCCACTTCAAGTGCAGGAAGAAGCGCACTTGATAAGAGACAGCAGTCATTCCCTGCTCAGGGAACACACTGGGTGTATCTGAGTGGCGTTCATATGCAAACCTGCTCTTAATCGAGGTAACTTTACAGGTCACGGTTCAGTTTGCATTGCTAACGCTGAAGCACCCATCCATCTCTTGCCCGATTCTTAATTTAAAAAGATAAATGTTTGTAAATAATTTGGCTATATATGTGATAATTTAAGCGTAACGTGAGTTTTGTTGTAGTAATGATCTAAACTTAAAAAAATACTTGTTTAAATGAGAGAAAATGCATTAAAATTAATGGCATCACGTAGTAAGTAAAGGTTTTGGCGACATCTATAGGCGACATCTGGACTGGCAGTGGTTAATGTATTTTAGTCTTATTAGGCAGGGGTGCCCAAACTTTTTTATATGAAGGGCCAAAAACCAAACACCATTATGAGCCGTGGATCGAAGGTATATACCAAACCATATTTCACAAGTTGCCATGGTTAACTTCCTAGTTTATTTCATAATATTTAAGAATAAATAAGTAAACATTACTTTAAATTGTATTAACTAATGCTGTATAACTTTTAAAAAGATAACTTATTGCAATAAACACTTAACAGTGAACAGTAGAGTTAGCCTTGATTTGCTTACCGAAGTCTCTGCATTGTCCTCCATCACGTGACAGTGCATTTAAACTAAATCTGATTAATTTACAATATTTAATCAAAACATTTAATTTCAGTTAGATTTTAACAATATAACGAAAGGCAATATTAGATTTGAAATGACAATCTCTTAAACCATCCCTTCATTTTTCTACTCTTTTCAGATCAAAGGTTACCATGGGCCAAACTTTGGGCATCTCTGGTCTAAGGTATTGTACTACAAAGATATTATTTTTGTCAAAATAAGACCTTTATGCTCTTATTAATAATGCGTACGCTTATAAATATATTAAATAAAAATATTTACATAATTAAAAGGTTAATAGAAAAAAAATAGAGAGAGAGAGAGAGAGACCCTTCTAAATTGTACTATTTAATCAATGTTGGCAATATGCTTTAATCTTTCTTCTTACATACAAATAAAATTTACTTAATGTTTTTTGGCATCCCAATAGGCTTTTGATGGCCTAATTACTCTAAAGAAAAACTCTAGTTTGAATAGAAATATTTTCCATAATAAGGTGCAAAACAAACAAAATTTCATATGCTGTTTTTAATGCAACGTTTACATTTTGTCCCTCTACATATATAAGGGCTTTTTAGTTTAACAGAACATAACACAGACATATTACATATTTAGGCCTATATTTTAGCAGATAGGCCTATTGGAATAATAATTTATGATAAAGCTTTAGGCTATAGGCTAGTTCTGTGACCAAATTTGAAAATGTGGATATCAATCAGGCCAAGACAATTCTGAAGGGAACTTCTTGAAAAATGTCATCCTATAGGCCTATAATCAGGAGATGTGAAGATAGGCTATGAGTCCAAAAGCAAGCTCGAGTAGCTACTGGGAGTACAGGCCTAATCATCATTCATCCAGCCTTGTTACTACACCTCTTTAAGCAAAAGCCCATAAGGACGGATTGTGCTCTCCACTATTTCCCTCTCTTTCTCAGCAGAAGTGCCTTTAGGTATAGGAACCAACCAAAAGTTCTTCTTAATAGTGATTTCCCTCTTCTGGGGGTTGATTCTGTTCTGCATAATGACTTTGTAAGTCTTTCCGTTGTTTTGCGATGTGAATTTCTTGGTTGTCGCGTATCCATCTGCCACATTGATGTCTGGAGATGAATAGATGCCTCTTCCGTAAGCCTCTCGGTCTCCAGCCTTGTAGTGAGACTGAATGATGCCCTCAGCTCCTTTCAAATCGGTTCCATGGTAGGACACTGGCCATTCACCCGGAGCGGAACAGTTCCTCCATCCGCCGGTTCCCAGCCAAGCGTTCCCGTCCGGGTATTTGTCCCACACCTTCAGCGCGAACCGCATCCACCCGTAGGGCCGCATGTACGGCTCACCTCCGCGCATACAACCAGAATCATCATCTAACTTGGACATATTGGTGAAGTCAAAGTCATACGCTGGGTCGAAAAAGTCATCTGAAATGACAAATAACTGCTTTCTGAGTGACGATCTCGAGGTTTCTCTTTTAGGGGTTTCTTCTATTGTGTCCCAGTCCCACCGATCATGGATTCTCAAACCCCACATATGAGAGGCCAGAAGCGAGACGGGTTCGACCAAGCGAGCTTCATTATTAAGCAAGGAAAGAGATGGCAGATTGACAATATGCAGTTGAATGGCTCCATCTAAATCTTTACAGTCTGATTTAAGTTTCACGGTGACTCCCGTAATGGCAGAGATCGCCTCGGTCAAGATAGACTTGTCCACATACATGGCGTTATCTTGTTTATTAAGCGCTGTTTCTGATCTGATAATGGTTTGTCGTGAGTAAACTTTCAATAGTTGTTTTTGGACTTTGTAGCCTACTAGCGACCCACTTTATATTGGTCTCTGTCAAGTGCTTAATTACAACACCTGCATCAGACCATTAGCTCATTAGCAGAGAGCTGCGTTAAAGGGATAGTTCAAAAATGAACATTTACTCAATATTTCCTCTCCCTCGACTCGAGTGTCTATTCAAATTTACCAATTTCTTTCTCTTGTTGAACACAAAGGAAGATATTTTAAGGAAAGCTGAAAACCTGTAACCATTCACTTTCTTCAAGATTTCTTCCTTTGTGTTCAACAGAACAAAGAAAGTCAAACAGATTAAATATCATTTTTATTTTGGGGTGAACGACCCTTCTATAGAGAGAGATTTACATGTAGCTCTTAAAAATTGTATACATTGATAAGGGATGGGCAGTATTTATGATACATGTATTTCAAATGTATTTTAAATACAAAACAGTATTTTGTCATTTGCATTTACACTCAGGAAACTGTTGGGTTAATAATAATGCTGTTGGGTTATTTTAACCCAGTCCATTGAGTTGTTAAGGTTAACCCAACAATTTGGGTTACAAAAATAATTTATTTGTTGGGTTATTTTGCCAACAAAACTGGCTTAACCACTATATAATAATAAATTATTGTTATTAATGGGTTGATGTCTCTGCTGGGTCCTAAAGGCGAGAATGATGGCTGAATATTTCAAATATGTGCATCATTTCCTAAAAAAAAACATTATAAAGCGTTTTGAAGCGTGTGTTTGTATCATAAAATTAAGAGTGCTGGTGAAACAGATATAACAAACACAACACGGAGAGGTAATCTGATAAAAAAACAACAACAATATTATTGCATTAGAGCTTGAATAAACTTTATAATGCAAAAACAACATTATGCAAACATATAAATACAGCTGTTTTGTGTCAGTTAAATCAGTTGACTGTTAAAATTAAAAAATGTAACCCAACTGGTTTAGTTATTAAATAAATAACCCAATAAAAACTAAAAAATAACCCAACAAAGCACCAAATATTTAACCCAACTGGTTGAATTATTAATAAATAACCCAATAAAGGTTAAAAATAACTCAACAAAGCACCAATTATTATTATTATTATTATTATTTAAAAAATAACCCAAAGTTTTTAGAGTGAATTGTTAATGAAAATGGCTTAATATTTTGTTTCAAAATACTTTATTGTCTAGTATTTTTTGTGTTTTTAAAATACTGTAAAATACTTTGGAAGAAGTCAACATCATGACATCATAAAAATGTAGCCAAGGCTTGAGATCAAACAAGAAAATTGATTAATAATGAAGAAGTTAATCAATACTTTGGATGGAAATTATGCATCACATAAAGAAAGTAACAGACAAATAGCATGATAAATTTGGGAGCAGGACAAAATCAGACAGCAAAATAAGAATCAACATAAAAAAGTCCTACACTGACGTACCTAAAAAAAAATAGGCTGTTTCAGCTGATCTGCAGGTCTTTATAGTTGATTACAAACATTGACATAGTTAATCAGTAAAGACAAAAATATTAAATATTATTCCAGTCTACTAAACTCCCAAATTTTTTGAGATATCATGTTTTATATTGCGTCTTGAAGAGTACAGCTGCAAAATACATGATTTAGAAACGACTAAAAGGACATTTTTGTTGTTTTCAGAAATCGAGATTTTACATTGAGTATTGAAGATTTCAATTGCAAAATGTTGAAAAATAAGACTTTTAAGAGATGGTGGCATTAATAAATGGTTTTCCCTTAAAAAGATAATCTTCAAGACAGGACTTTCAGTATGAAATTTGTACAAAATCTATACTAAAATCAAAGACAAATACAAGTTTTATAAATAAAACAATCAAAGAGAAATACAAGTTTTATAAATAAAACAATCAAAGAGAAATACAAGTTTTATAAATAAAACAATCAAAGACAAATACAAGTTTTATAAATAAAACAATCAAAGAGAAATACAAGTTTTATAAATAAAGGTACAAGTTACATTTTTTATGAAATCCTCCTCATGTACAAAAGAGATGAATTAGTTGAAGAGACGCTGTCTTAAACTTTATTCATTCATTCATTCATTTTATTTTCAGCTTAGTCCCTTTATTAATCTGGGGTCGCCACAGTGGAATGAACCACCAACTTATCCAGCATATGTTTTAGGCAGCGGATGTCCTTCCAGCTGCAACCCATCTCTGGGAAACATCCACACACTCATTCACACAAACACTCATACGGACAATTTAGCCACCTGTACCGCATGTCTTTGGACTGTGGGGGAAACCGGAGCACCCGGAGGAAACCCACATGAACAAGGAGAACATGCAAACTCCACACAGAAATGCCAACTAAGCCGAGGCTCGAACCAGCGACCCAGCGACCTTCTTGCTGTGAGGCGACAGCACTACCTACTGCTTCGCCCTAAAAATGAAATATTAAACTTAAATTAATAATAAGGGGCAGCATGGTGGCGCAGTGGGTAGCACAATCGCAGCACAACAAGACGGTCGCTGGTTCAAGCCCCGGCTGGGTCAGTTGGCGTTTCTGTGTGGAGTGCATGTTCTACCCGTGTTTACGTGGGTTTCCTCCGGGTGCTCTGGTTTCCTCCACAGTCCAAAGACATGCGGTACAGGTGAATTGGGTAGGCTAAATTGTCCGTAGTATATGTGTGTGAATGAGTGTAGATGTTTCCCAGTACATGTGCTGCATAAAAAATATACTGGATGAGTTGGCGATTCATTCTGCTGTGGCGACCTTAGATTAATAAAGGAACTAAGCCGAAAAGAAACTGAATGAATAAATAATAATATCTTACAACTTTTATGGATGGACTTTATAATGGTTTTGTTGTCCCATGTTCTTTGGGGCATTTTGGACAAGAACATTCTTAGAAAAACATTTTAATTTCATCCTTCCTTATTTATCTAAACATCATAACCTGCAGCCGAACTCTTCAGAGGAATATTTGCTTTTACAAAATCAAAAGCAAAATGCTCTGATAAAAAGTACAAATATCTTGCTTTAGGGGCGGTGTGGTGGCGCAGTAGTTGTGATTCTTGCTTTGAAGCTTTTCATCTCTGAAATCTAAATAGAACTTTAATGGAAAACTTTTTTTAAAACCTTAAATTTAGAAAAAATTAAATAACATTTTTAATTTAATGTTGATTTAATCTTTAACTTAATATAATAAAGGGAATAAGCCGAAAAAAATGAATGAATAAAAAAATTAGCAAAAGTAAAAAAAAAAACATTATTGCAAAAATATATACTATAATTTATTATTAATACTAAAATAATCAGTTGAATAGCCTATTTAGATGGTTACACTTAAAAAAAAAGTCAAGTTCATATTTCTGATATTTAAGTTTTTCTTCTTTTGTCTTGTCTGTATATAGTTCAAGATTTTTAAGTGCAGGAAGTGTGTAAAATTACTCCTGATTGTAGGCTGTAGGCTACTTCGCCCATATTATTAGATTATGACAAATATTGGAGAACGAACGTGGTAGTCACTATCTCAAAAATCTAATAGAACATTTTTTTCACCAAACCTCCGTCCCTAGCGAGACTTAACCCTAAACTACATTGACCACATGTCCCAGAATGACTGTTCTGAGATCAGCCGTCTCGATGCTCCGAGTTCTCGCGATGCGCGCGCGTGAGGTTTAGCCACGCGGTGCACGCTGGGAAGCCCTTTCTCTACGAGGCCATCTTGGTGTGATCAGGAGGTGAGCGCGGCTCTGGTGGAAATTACAAAAATATTAATCTTTCAGACGTTTAGAAAGAGTACACACGCGATATTGTGAAAGCGTAAATCTTGATCTGTTGCTCTTCTGTGTTCAGGTTGGCCAAATCGGACTAATCAGGAAAAATGGTGGCCGCAAAGAAGACGGTAAGTGGAGCGCAGAAGTTCACGTGGAAGCGCCATACAGGCCTGATTACACAGACGCACAGTTTTCACGCAGAAATATTGATATATGTGGTTACAGTTAGGCGGTTAAAGTGTTATATTAGGTTTTGTATTGTGCATGTGTTTGTGTCTGGTCGCTGCTATGTTGTTGTTGTGTAGGTCGTATGTATGATAGTCGACGAGCGCAGCTGCTTGACAGCGAGTTTATAGATCAGGAAATGCATGTGTGAGTAACGTTATTCGTATTATTGTATTTGCCTAAATCAGGCTTTATCAGATACGAATATTAATGAACACACATTTAGATTAGTATTTTTTCGCGTTAAAATTTGTTATCCAGCACGGAAGATGCCTCCAGTGTCAGTAAAATAACTTGATTTGCAGATACACGTGAAGTGAGGTTGTGTATTTGCTATAAACAGTATCATGGTGCCAAAATCTCTTTTACTGACCTCTTAAATTATATTTCAACTAATCATGTAAATTACTGTAATGTCAACTAATTTATCACTTATCATTTGTAAATACGTTTAAAAGTGACTAACGTTAAACTGGTTTTACTCGCATACATATTTTGCAGTAACGTTACATACAAAATATCCACAAAAATTGTTTTGTATACGTTAAACCATGAAATGCTTTTATTTAATTGATTAAACATATTTGAAATGCTTTTGTTTACTTGACCAGATTCTAATTACATTAATAAAACTTGGGAAGATGTTTGGCACGCTGCATTACAAATGATCAAATGTGATAAGCCATATTGCATAAAGTAATACCTGAAGCATGTAAGGTAATAAGTAGATAATAAGTAGACATGGGCCGGCACAAGATCCTTACTGTATGATAACTTTGAATGAAAATATCATTGTTTTACAATATTGTCATTATCTAAAAATATATATTCTCTAAAATATTTTATGCTCTAAAATATATTCTTTTAAATGTAAAGTTTTTTTTCCGCTTTATACACAATATGATTTTTTTTTTAGAAACATTTAAAGTATTTTGTAACATTAAACGTTATTGACTTGTGCTGTCTTCATTACTTTCAAAAACACAGATTTCTTTACAATTTAAGACAGCATCATTGGATATCTTTTCTGCTGGAGATACTGTTGTTGTTAAAAAATTGTGAAGAAAATCTTCAGATGTACCATAGGTGCAGTATAGCAAAATCTTTTGTGGTTTTAAAACCTTTTCCCTAACAGCGGTTTACCTTGAAAACAGTTATCCCATGTCTAGTATTAAGTAATAAAAAAAAAACTTTCCATCATACCTGAAACACTATTTCATATGTTTGTGTTATTGTGATGCTTGCTATTAAAGGGATAGTTCACCCAAAAATAAATATTTACTCAATAAGTTCCAAACCTTTAGGAGTTTTTTTTTTCCTGTTGAATACAAAAGATGTTAAAAACAAGTAACTACTGACATAGAAGAAACAAATACTATGGAAGTGAATGATTACTGGTTTCCAACATAGTTCAACTTTTTGCTTGTTTGTTTGTTTTTAGCAAGTGTAGGGTGCATAAACGATGACCTTTTTACATTTTGGGTAAAGAATTTTTTTTTTATTTGATGCCCATAATACATACTTAATCTTCATGTGCTATTTTTACAATTTCATTTGAAAACTTTATAGTCTAACAATTTAATTTGATTAACTTGAGTCATATGGAAGCAATGATCTCAAGTAAAACATGTTAGTCGCAAGATTATTTCTCATCTCTCTGTGCTGTTGGTGTGTGTTATTTATGGTTTAATTTTTCAATCCTTCCAGAAAAAGTCCCTGGAGTCCATCAACTCCAGACTGCAGCTCGTGATGAAGAGCGGTAAATACGTTCTCGGATACAAACAGTCGCAGAAAATGATTCGCCAAGGAAAAGCCAAGCTGGTGATCCTGGCCAACAACTGCCCCGCTCTGAGGTGCGTCTGCGCTCACGAAGCCTACAGCATACTGAGGATATTAATGAGTGTCGATATAAACAACTTTTGATATTTGTTCCCCAGGAAGTCCGAGATCGAGTACTATGCCATGTTGGCAAAAACCGGTGTCCATCATTACAGTGGAAACAACATCGAGCTCGGCACAGCCTGTGGCAAATACTACAGGGTCTGCACATTGGCCATCATTGACCCCGGTGTGTGTTCATGCATCACTACTACTTTCAGAAAATCCATAGAAATCAGACTCAAATAGGATCATTAGTTATTTTGTTTGCTTAAATATTTTATTGAAGGTGTTTAGTGCAAAACATGTAAGAATTTTACATTATTAAGATAATATCCATTGTTTATATAATTTGAATCCTGACCCCCTGCATGAGAAATTATAATAATTAAATTAATAATAGCAGAAATAATAATAAAATTAAATTGTAATTAAACTAACAAAATAAGGACATAAAATGCAAAATTATTTTACAAAAAGGCAGATTACATTTCTTTTTGTCCTGGCTGAGTCCTAACAGACAGGCTTTTAGTCTTATGTTGTATTTACACCATACGCGGATGAAGCATCACATGCAAGTGATGTACATGTTAAGTCAATGCAAAGATGTGAATAGACATCCTGCGGCGCGATTCACGTGAATGAGGTGATGCAAATCAGAGCTTGCTATTATAGGAGCGTGATTATGATGTTAGTGCCTGTTGGTGTCATGAAATGAAATCCTGTTTCCGACACCTGGATAACCATTCATCAAACTGGGCTCGGTTCAGTCAGAAGTACACAACGGCGAATGAATAAAGCCTTTCTGAAGCACATAAACAGCTGTTCTCTCAATAAAATCCATGTTAGCCATTTAACAACAAAGCTAGAGTCACTGGGCAGATAGAAGCCCCACCCAGGATGTGAATCTGTGTTTATTGTGAAGTGAATTTGACACGCAAATGAAGCAAAGTTGACATGCGAAATGAAGTGAGTAAACTCAATGTTAATGTGTCTATTTATGTGCGAATAGTGAATAGTTTCGTTTGCCACATCTAGTGTGAAGGGCATTAGATACTTAAAGGTTCCCCGATACCAAAGAAAGGATCTCAGGTCCGATAAAATGGGAAAGGTTTGTTCTTCATAGTTGTGGAGAAAGCCTCAAGTGAGGTTGTGTCAATAGACGATGCCATTGCCGATGGCTGATAGACATCACGATGCTGAGCCAGCATCGCAATCCTCCGCCCTGCCCCCTTCACAGCATCATCCAGCTTGCGAAAAAGACACACTAAGGCCCTGTTTACACTAATGCGTCTTCATTTTGAATTGGCGTTTAAGAACAAAAATGATCCACGTCCACACTGACGTTTCATCAAGCATTTCTGAAAAGATCTCTCCGTCCACACTATATTGCTGAAAACGCAAATCACGTGACCCCAAACTCTGTCATGCGCTGCAGCGTCTGAGCTCCAGCAGTCAGCCCAGAGAGCAGTGCACGTCGTACAGTTTATCAAGGATGTACTGCTGGATTGCGTCTCACTATAGTTGTTAAACGTGATATTTAATCTTAAATCTATCTAACGACTCTGTCTTTTAAATATATCAGGTTACGTGTCACAGCGTCAACATTGCTTCAATCTTTCACTTTTACACTTGTACTTAGTCATTTTAGTGAAAACCTCAGATACTGTTGGTTTGTTCTTGTTGGTTGTGCAGTTTTTTTTTTTTTTGTTTTTTTTTTTTACCAACTAAGTTTATCGATGCCATTATAACGACACAGATCACTCTGCCTAATCATGCCAGAGTGATTATGGGTAAAGCAAAAACCATGCAGGTCAAGTAGTTGAAATGGTAGGCTACAAATAAGTAATTAATTATTTATAAATACTTAATTCACCGCCGCCTATGGCCACGATGCCATCGTTCATCGCGATGTTTTACATAAGACATCGTACGTTGCCAAATTGGTCGACATCGCCCAGCCCTAGCCTCAAGTGGGATTATGCTGCAGACTGCAGGCAGCCATTGATTTAAACTGGGAGGTTCATTAATCCACTTAACAAGGAGACATTTATCTGGGTTAAAAAAAAAACCAGATGATTTGGATTAATAGGTCATAACATGTTAAAGTCATTACGGATTTAAAATGTTGCTACATTTTGTGCTTAAATTCGGAAGACTTTAGCAAGCAGTTAAATATTAAGTATCAATTTATATTATATATTATGAACATTTAATATATGTAATGTGCTGGTATCTGTGCTCATACTACAGGTGTATATATACTAGTATTTTTTCTATTCTATTAATTAGCCTCTAGTGATTATTCTTTAGGTTTTAGTTCATTTTTTCAGTATTAATCATTACATAGTATTTTCAGTTTATATTCATTAGATGCTAGTGATGTTACTATTATATAGTTAGGGTTAAAAACATTTTTGCCTTTGACTTCTGTGGATCTGTCCTTTTTTCATTTCATATTTGACTAGTATATATTGCAGTTCATTGTCAACGTAAGCTAAAAAACACCCGTTGTTTGCTTAAGCGCTACTGTTATTATTCTTGCTAGATATTCCTAAGACAAGTGTAAAAAAGAGCTAGTAATGATTGCAAAACATCCTACTCTGTAATTAATACTAGTATCAGATAAGTGTTGCCTAGTGTGTATTGCATATTAGGGTAAAGTTTGTTTTATATTGGCTTGGTTGGCCTTTTTCAGTAATACAATTTCAGAAAAATATTTTTTGCCAATTCTAAATGATAAAATCATATTAGCAATTATTGACTGTTAAAATACAACATTATTCAGTTAGTTAAATAGTGCTAATGTTGTTTTGAGGTCACACAAGTTCTAAAATGAACAAATGTGCGAATAATTAACCAAGCGTAACTCGGTTGTATTGCGTTTGTACTTTGTATCTTATGAATGATTTAACTATATAATCTTTTTAATAGGAACTAGTATCTAATTAATATATAATATTAATCAAATGAAAAGATATTGAATTGGATCATTTGCAAAATGATTTGGCCTTAAGACTAAGCATTTGGTAGCTAATGAATACATGCATAATAGGAAAACTAGTAGAAAAGTGAAAGTACTGCTGCTGTGAATGCTAAAACTGCTTGCCATCGGACAGAATGGTGAGGTGTCCAGTTTGTGTTGTGTATTGAAGGTGTTTGTGTTGTTGTTTACAGGTGATTCTGACATCATCAGGAGTATGCCAGACCAGCAGCAGGGGGGCGAGAAGTAGAGCCTTTTCCACCACATCTTATTGCTTGCTAATAAAATTGGTTGAAACGGTCACTGTGGTTTCTGTCTCTGTTTATACATGACGTGTTTATTTGATAGACACTGTTAAATACTAAACCTAATTTTTGATAATGTTGGGAAACTGAAGTTTTTGTCCCACATGTTCAGCCACAGTGTTTGTTGATCAGTTTTGTTTATTAAAATCACCTTGACACAATTGCTCTTGCTCTTTGAGATGCTTTTTACCAATTTACAAGTATAAAAGTATTCAGAATCATTTTATTCACAAACTAGAATCACAGTTTTTTTTTTATCTGTTTTATATGTTTTTTAAAGTTATATTTGGTATTACTTTAAACTTGAAATAGAATACTAAAGAAGTAGAATTTACTAAAGTGATAGTGTACAAAGAAATGATGGGAAGTAAAAGTCATTCAGCCCAACATATTGATCAAAACTTGAAAATTTTTCTGACCTGTATTAAAGATTATAGAATAGCCATTTGCCTTAAAATTACTGCCTGTAATCGTTAATTGCAATTTAAAATGTTCATAACAAAGTTAATATGTTAAACGTTTGTTTGGTGTATTATGCAAAGCATAGTAAAATGTAGGTTACAGTATTTTTCACTGAAAGATGCACACATAAACACAAGCAAGTATTATAGGTTTATTTTGATGCTTTTAGTGAATCAGTCAAATGGGGAAAAAAAAAACTCTTTCAATAATGCACTAAAGATCTGCCGCTGGAGGGCGCACTGTTTCATGCATTCGCTTCAAAACCGAGTGAATTCTATTTCTTACAGTCGCAGTGTTTATGAAAGACGTCATGCATTTGGTAAAATAGCCTAAAACGTTCTACAACATAAATCGTTACCTTTTGCTCCATTGCTTGTTTTTCATTTATGTTAATGAAATAAAGTAGGATGGTAAAAAGGTAAAGCATTTTAAGCAGTAGATTCATTCCAGTAATTTTAATTGAAACATTTTTTATACTTCATGTTGCAGTGATTTCACTATCATTGGATTGTGCAGTAAAAAAATAAAACAGGATACACCTAAAAACGCTGGGTTCCACAGAATCCCTTCCTTCGATTGAGTTAACTTGTCTATTGAGTGGATTTTACATCAAAACAATTCTTAAGGTTTCTTGGTAGACAACATAACTGTTTTTTCAACTCATTTTAAAAAAGTAGTTTAAAGATGCAGCAAAAGTCATGTTTTAAGTAATTTGTAAACCAGGCATGCGTTTACGCAACAATTTGACCATTATAAATACAAATGTTTAAAACATCTAGATTTGCTGGATTTATGTATGTTTGAGTAAACATTAATGTATGTGTTTATATAAATTTTAGATTAAGTTTTTTCACTTGAGGAGAGTTTGGTGGAAATTGTGGTATTCATTTTTGGTTGAAATTCCAAATTAATTCGGCCAAGTCTATTTATTCATCAGAAGTCGCCACAGCAGAATGAACCGCCAACTTTTCCAGCATGTTTTACACAATGGATCCCCTTCCAGCTGCAACCCAGTACTAGGAAACATCCATACACGTTCATTCACTCGCATACAATACGGCCAATTTAGATTAGTTTATTGGTTTATTCGAAACAGCGACTTTCTTGCTGTGAGGCTAACCACTGTCGTCCTGTGGAATAACTAATTTGCAAATTGCAACAAATGAAAATACGTTATTCTGATAGTCATTTTCTGGAACAAAAAAGCTCTAAATGACAATTTAATTAAATAATATATGTAATATTAAATATACATTTAATATTAAATATATGACCATTCCCCTTAAATAAACTCGTTTGGATCAGGCTGAAGCATCTGAAACGTGCTGCAGCATTGACATACTTTTTTCCTGTAAGGATTTTCAGTCTGGAATAAAAATCTGCCAGGCCTAAAGCGCTTGTGCAGAGAGAGAACATCAAACGCTCTTCACTGAAGTGATTGCCCCAGTTTCCTCAGTCACGTGCAGTCAGTCAGTTTTGAAGTCTAATTCTTAAATACCCACACAGATAAACATAATCAGCCTCAGCCGAGCGTGTTCGGTGAGCTAGCTGAAATGAACAGATAAATGGGGAACTGGAGTGATGGACACGAGCTTCAGAAAAGACCTCAGGCCCTGGGTTCAGTTTTATTGCTGGAATACATTGAAAATAGGTCAGAGGATGAGGATCGTGTATTGGAAATTCCTGCAACTAAAGTAATTGCGGAAACCCTGACAGAGAAATGTTGGTTTATCCAGCACAGAATGTAGGTGAATCTGTCTCTGCTCACGCAAAGGTAACGACACGCTTCTAGATTTCAGTTGTAATCACTTCAACAACAATTCTCACTATTAACAAAACATTACCTATTGGTTTTAGCTCAATAAACTCCTCATTCTCTCTCATAATTTTAGTTGGGTTAGGGATTTAGAATAAAAGCATGCAGAATATCTACTTTATACGTAACAGGCAGGTAATGTAAGCCACTAGTTATTAGAGAATTGGTCCTTAAACTTGTGTAACCAAATGTTTTAAATAAAAAAAGTTTTCCAAAGTCGCTCTATTCTTCAAAGTTTGAAGGAATTTTAGTAGTGGACACTTACTGTAATTGTGGAGCTTCTCAATCAGGTTTAAATCAGGACTCCAGGCTGCCATTTCATTATTTTGCTGTTTCTAACTTCAAGAAGCTGCTTTACACGTTTTGCTTTACCTGTTTTGACATCCTGTTTGAAAACGATTGACCTATGCACACGGTAGGAACCGCATTTTACCAAACTATGACACCACCACCACCTTCAACAGACTTTAGGTTTAGTCTCTCCCCAGTATGACAACAAACATGAGATTCTCAAATACTTTCATCCCTAAAGTGAACTTTGGAGCAGTTCTCGATCCACACGCTCATCAGCAAAGGTTAGATTTGCGATTCGTTCAGCTGATGAAGGTTGGGTCACCGCAGAAACTTTCAGTCTAAACTCTCTTGAACTTTCAGACCCTGTGTGTGGAGAAGATCTTTATCGTGTTCAGAGCTGATCTGATGATCAGTGTTGAACCCAGTAACATTCTCCACATTATCCCGTTTTCTCAGGTATTTTGTCTTTCATGGACGACCAGCCTTTTTGGAGGATTTGAATGCGTTTTTGACAATGTAAAGATGTAATATTCAGTAAATCAAAGATTTAGAACAATCTAATTTCTCTTCCTGTGGCTGAAAGGATGGTCTCTTTAGTTTTCATCTGAACAACCTGCTGTTGGAGGCTTTCAGAACAGCTCTCCATCTAGTGCAGTCAATAAAACCTGAAAATTTAGGCTGCCAATTAAATTCGAGTTTGTCAGGTGAAGATTAACAACAACTAATATGAATCTGAAAGTGTTCTCTAATTTGATTGTGCCCTAAGTCCAAATCTCATGTTTCAAGTTTTTATACTGTGCTTCGGAATGGATGTAACTCATGTAATATGCATATAAATCTGCTCTTTCACATGTGTCAGGACAACTTCGAAACTTGAAATTTGGGAAATTGTAGATTGCTCTCTAATTTGATCTACACTGTGTCCGTACCTTGTATTTTTGATGGAATTTTAGTTGTGGACATAACTTTATTGCCAAGGATTTTCCACAGTTTCTCAATCAGGTTTAGTTCAGGACTCCGGTCTGCCATGTCATTATTATCGTGTGTATATGTGTGCCTTCTATTCCTTATGTTGTAGGGATCCAAATGTCTAAAACTACTACAATACCAGTCAATTTTGACCTTGCGGAGACATTTTTTGTCCCCATGAGGATAACGGCTCATAAATTACACAGAATAAAGTATTTTGTAACTGTAAAAATGCAGATTGTGTCTCGTGACGATGAAGTAGGGGGGAAATACACAGTTCATTACATCTAAGAGAAGCCCTCGTGAAGATAGCTGTACAAGCGTGTGTGTGTGTGTGTAGCTGTACAAGCGTGTGTGTGTGTGTGTGTGTGTGTGTGTGTGTGTGTGTGTGTGTATAAAAATATGCCCAGCCATAATGAAGCATTACTGGAATATTTTATTGTTTACAAAGGAGACATAAGCCAGTGTCAACCCAATACAGAATGTGTAATAAGACAAAAGACAAACACTCACAGACTTTCTACCTACTGACAAACATTGTTCTGGGTTTCATTTAGTAATATCCACTGATAATTACTTCATTTTCTTGAGAAATATCGTGAGAATATTATAACAAATCGGACCGGTCACGCTCGATTCCAAAAAGCGATATTCCAAACATTTTGAACGCTAAACGCTGAATTAAAAGTGAACGTCTACGCACAGAACAATGAAAGTGAATGTCTACATCTGTCAGTTTCGAACACTTTTCTTAACGCCTTAATATCTAAATGTAACTGTGATGAATAAATGCAAGGACATATTCATTTTCAGCTATGGATACATGTTACAAAATACCTTTGCATAGCCACTGTATATAAAAAAGAAATCAATTATGTTCCCAATAATAGAAGCTACGTCAAGCTAGAAGGTGGACTGGGGGAAATGCCAGTGTCATAGATCTACTGTCAGGGTCACATCGTTTGCTTTTCGTGATTAACACACACACATCGTTCATCACAGACAACAACATGAATGAATAATATTCATTTGTGCAAAAATATTGCAGTCTGCGGTCACAACTTGTAACATAGTGATGATGACAGGGAAAAAAAAGTGACGCTACTTCTCAGACCAAGAGAATAACCCCCAACAATGATGTGTTTTCTTACACACACACACACACACACGCGCACACACACAACTCCCATTTATTCATTTGAGCACTGCCTGGTTTAATGCTTTTGTTGACAGTATTTGTGGCATGTTGTTGATTACCACAAATATGAAGGGTCTTGCCACTTGTTTTCAAAAATCACGTTTAGAAACATTTATTTTATTATTAAAATGTGCATTATTAGTTTGATTTTTTTTTTATGAATTTAGGGTTCAAGTTTTGCCATGATGACAGTTATTTGGATACATAGTTATGTTTTTAGTATGACTTTAGTTTGTCTTAATTGTTTACATTAGTTTAGACTATTATTTTGATGAAAGCTTTATTAATTTGGATATGTGTTTTTCTCATTGTAACTTTTTAAAGACGTCTATACAACTGTAATATAGTTTTATTTTATTTTAGCTTTATTTTAAACTGAATGACTTATAAATATGTTGAAACTAAGTACATTTTATTTGATCAATTTTCAGTTCAGTTAACATTTATTTCAAGCAACAAAATGTTGTTTAATGATTTCAGCTAACTATAATAAACCGGACTGAAAAGATGATCAAGATTTCTTTTTTTAAATCAAGTTAATCAACATATTTTTTTATTTCTTGTAACTACATTATGCCTGGAAATTATGAAAATTCACAAAAAAATTTGACCCTAATCTCTTTTCTTTTTCTTTTTTTTAAGAAAACAAATGACAAGTCCTTTAATATCAACAAATATAGTCAACAGAATCAAAATTCAACTTGATTTCCTACCTAAACCAGAGTCGTCACATATTATGAGTTTACAGCTTTTTAACAGCTCACAAGAAGCAGAATCATCCGGTCTCTGCCACATTATACACCATCTAAAAGTAATAATTAGCAATTGGTTAATCAAAAAAGAGAATATGATTGCATCGTTTGTTTAAAACTTTTTAATATATATATTAGAGCTGCACAATATATGGTTTCAGCATCGAAATCGCATTGTGTGCATTTGCAATAGTCACATCGCCGCATCTGCAATGTGGAGCTGGGATTATTATAGTTGATCAGCAATGAATTCAGTGTTTCCATTTTACATTACATTACATTATTTAATAATAGGGGCAGGACAAATGCATGAGGTGGCGCTTCTCATAATGGCAGATCGAACATTTATCAATGCTGCAATTTTTAAAAATAAATGTGCTGTTAATAAAAGAAGTACATCTTATAACTTTTTGATGCATTTTTCCCTCTTCGTTTACAAATATCATGATATATTGTGGATAGTTTTCTTGTGATTAATCGCTGATTTTGTGATCTGTCATTATCGTATCGTTTTGTATTACTGTATCTTATTTCTTTTAATTTATATCTTTTTTATAATGCAATATAAATCGCAGCTAAATAAAATATCGCAATGTCAGATTATTCCACTATCGTCAGCCCTAATATATATATCAAGTCAATAAAGGAAGACTTTGTTAGATGAAATGATTCACAATTATTTCTAATCAATTTAGTTTAACCGGATGCAAATTTTCCTTTTATATTCGTACAGTACAACGAAATAGACGCGAAAACGCCGGCTCCTACATTCAGCATATTTTTAATTGCCATCTGAAAAAAAAAGTGCTCTTACATGTTTACTTCTGTGTTTATCATGCACACCGCATTCAAATCTCAGGAATATCAGTAGACGGCAACACTACCGACAAGTTCACAGTATTGAAAAGGCCAGTGCCACACATAATCGCCGAAAGTGCAATTGAGATTGGAGCTGACGCAGAGCGTTGGGTTTGCCAGGACAGCTGGGCAGCCTTGTCGAAGAGAAGGGAAGGGCATCTCAAAGTCAAACCGCTGCCTCCGGAGAAGAGGAAAGAGACTTACGTCACACTGAGACAAACGGCAGACCGGGGCGACGCAATAGGCTTCGTGAGAGAAGATTGTTTCTTTGGAGAGGGTTTGTTGGAGGAGTGTTGTGTTAAGAGAGCGCGCGATCCTCAAGCCGAAACGTACTGAGGAGGAGGATCCTTCGGCGGGATAGCGATCGCCTCTTCATAGGGTGGAAGTAGTACCTGAAAAAAAACACACAAGTACAGATTAGTGTTCAGATGATTCCTGTTTACAATGTTTTTCCCCCTCTTTCTGTTTGCTTTATGAATAGGGAATAAAATAATAGTTTGGGGTGTAATGATTAAGACTAAATATTGTTGTTTTTTTATGGAAATGGAAACTAGATTGATAAATAGTACAAGAAATTGAACATATTATAAAAAACTACACTAAAAAAATTTTATTTTTTCCCCAATTTCTGTTTAACAGAGAGAAGATTTCTAAAGATAATAGTTTTAATAACTCCTCTCTAATAACTGATTTATTTTATCTTCGCCATGATGACAGCACATAATAGGGAGGTCCAGATCTAATTATGTGATTGGAAATCATGGCTGATCATGTGGTTTCAGACTCGATCGGAATCAGACATTATTATTACCTCTTATTTGTTTTATTTTAGCTAGAATAAAAGCGGTTTTTAATTTTATAAAAACCAATTTAAGGTCAAAATTATTAGCCCCTTGAAGCTAATTTACTTTTCGATAATCTACAGAACAAACCATCGTTAACCATCGTTACAGTTGAAGAATTATTGCTGCAATATTACCAAATCCAGTATTATTTTCTGTTGATTTGTTATATGAAATCAAAATCGCATGCCAAGATTAAAAAAACGTCACTATTGCTTCTATGGCGTTACGCAATTATGTGTTCTATTGATATATGGGACAATATTGCAGTACAATATGCAGCCTTCTTTTACAGGGACGTTCCATGTATATTTCATCAAGACAATGCAGACAATACATTCTGCACACATTACAAATGTCCTGGCTGCAGAGGAAGAGAATACAGGTACTTTACTGGCCTGCCTACAGTCACGACCTGTCCCTAATTAAGAATGTGACAAAATGTGACAACGAAGACAGAATGCCCACCTTAAGACTTGTTTGCAGGAAGGAATGGCAACATTACAAAGTGGTAAATGCTTTACTGTTCCTTGTGGGCAGGAACCAAAATTGGAATTGGAATGTGTGTTTATTTTAAAAATAAACAATAAAATTAATATAAATAATGCCTGTTGTAATAAAAAAAACAAGTCAAAGTAAATTTAGAAATCACTACTTTCTTTTTGTATTTGTGTTTTCCAGACTGTGCCTTACTTTTTTGATTTGGGGAATTTCTAAACTGAACACTTATTACTGGTTTTGTAGTACAGGGTCGCATATTATACATAAGGTCATACAAGAATCATTTAGGCTTTCATATCTTTAAACAATGGCATTTTATCATTGTTAACATTGTAAGCAATTTTATTCGCGAAATGAGTGACATACTTGATAACAACAGCTTGCACATTAACAAAACAATAACGTCAATAAATGTCTGACATTCCTAAATCCAGTCCTGAGAAACGCGAGTGTCATGCTGTGGGGTTTATCTGTGCAGTTTTAGATGGATATTGAGACGTGCATCACAGCGGGAGGATGATGACGCTCTCCCCATGCCCTCTGTATCGTTGAGTCAGTGTTTATGGAGGGCATTAGAGAGGGCAATGTGCTGTGTGCCTGCTCTGCCTCTAATCCAGTACTGTCTGCCAGAGGTAATCTTGTCTTACTGCTTCTCTCTGTCTGTCGGTCTGCCTGTCTGTCTGTCTGTCTGTCCTGCTGCTCTGCTGACCCTTACAGCCCTACAGTCACTGACAACTTGCTTATACGATGAGCTACATTTATGCATCTGACAGTCGGGTTTTTTCCCCATAGAGATTTACAGTTAAAGTCCGACTCATTAGCCCTATTGTATTATTAGTATATTGTTCCCCAATTTCTGTTGAACATGAATAACACATTTCTAAAAATAGTAGTTTTAATAACTATTTTCTAATAACCGATTTCTTTTAGCTTTGCCATGATGACAGTAAATAATATTTTACTAGATATTTTTCAAGATACTAATATTCATTCAGCTAAAAGTAACATTTAAAGGCTTAACTAGGTTAATTAGGCAAGTGTACAGTGCATCCGGGAAGTATTTATAGTGCTTCACTTTTTTCCACATTTTTTTGTTACAGCCTTATTACAAAATGGATTAAATTAATTTATTTCCTCAAAATTCTACACACAATACCTCATAATGACATTGTGAAAAATTATTTTTTAAAAGTGTAGCAAGTTTATTAAAAATAAAAAAGCTGAAAAATCACATGTACATCAGTATTCCCAGCCTTTGCCATGAAGCTCTAAATTGAGCTCAGGTACATTCTGTTTCCACTGATCATTCTTGAGATGATTCAGCAGCTTAATTGGAGTTCACCTGTGGTAATTTCTGTTGATTGGACATGATTTAAAGGCAAACACCTGTCTATATAAGGTCCCAGGGTTGACAGTGCATGTCAAAGCACAAACCAAGCATGAAGACAAAGGAATTGTCTGTAGACCTCCTAGAAAGGATTGTCTTGAGGCACAAGGTTGGGGAAGGTTACAGAAAAATATCTGCTGCTCTGAAAGTTCTAATGAGCACAGTGGCCTCCATCATCCATAAGTGGAAGATGTTCAAACCACTAGGACTCTTCCTAGAGCTGGCCGGCCATCTAAGCTGAGTAATTAGGGGAGAAGGGCCTTAGTCAGGGAGGTGATCAATAACCCGATGGTCACTCTGACAAAGCTCCAGCATTCTTCTGTGGAGAGAGGAAAACATCTGTGCAGCAATCCACCAATCAGGCTTGTATGGTAGAGTGGCCAGATGGAATCCACTCATTAGTAAAGAGCACATGGCAGCCTGCCTGGAATTTAAAACATTTGAAACAAAATTCTCTGGTCTGATGAGACTAAAATTAAACTCTTTGGCGTGAAAACCAGGCACCGCTCATCACCAGGCTAACAGTGTAGCATGGTGGTGGCAGCATCGTGCTGTGGGGATGTTTTTCAGCAGCAGGGACTAGAAGACTAGTCAGGTTAGAGAGAAAGATGAATGCAGCAATGTATAGAGACATCCTGAATGAGTGCCTTCAGAGTGCTCTTGACCTCAGACTGGGGTGACGGTTCATCTTCCTGCAGGACAATGACCCAAAGCACACTGCCATAATATCAATGAAGTGGCTTCACAACAACTTGGTGAATGTCCTTGAGTGGCCCAGCCAGAGCCCAGACCTAAATCCTATTGAACATCTCTTGAGAGATCTGAAAATGGCTGTACACCGTCACTTCCTATCGAACCTGATAGACCTTGAGAGGTACTGCATTGAGAAATGGGCAAAAATTCCCCAAATACAAGTGTGCCAAGCTTGTGGCATCATATTCCAAAAGACTTGAGGCTGTAATTGTAAATTTCAGGTTTTTTATTTTTAATAAATTTGCAACAGTTTTAAAAAATATATTTTTTTCAGTGTCATTATGGGGTATTGTGTGTAGAATTTTAAAGAAATAAATTAATTTAATCTATTTGGTATAAGGCTGTAACAAAAAAATGTGGAAAAAGTGAAGCGATATGGATACTTTCTGGATGCACTGTATAATGATGGTTTGTTCTGTAGACTATTGAAAAATATTGCTTAAAGAAGCTAATAATATTGGCCTTAATATGCTTTTAAAAATGTAAAGCTGCTTTTATTCTACCTAAAATAAAACAATAAGACTTTCTCCAAAAGAAAAAAAAAAATTATTAAAAATCCCTTCTCTGTTAAACACTATTTGGGAAATATTTGGAAGACAAAAAGATTCACAGGAGGGCTAATAACTGTATATGTTTAGCTGTACATATTTAATCAAGTCTCTTTTTTTCTTCAGTCGGGTGATCAAACTAATTGGATTGCCTGGTTCGTTCAGTTGAATTCCACAGATTTCCTTCCAGCACAATGAGCGGTTGGATGCTTTTTAAAAAAAAAGAGGCAGAAAGAATCGAAATAAAAGGCCATTGAGGAGCGCAGGGCTTTTTCAGCATTGAGCTGCAGGCTGTTACGTAACTGTCCTAACTTGTTTGGTTCATTCGAAATCCATTGCCTTGATGCTTTCCAGCCATCCTGACAAGGTGAGAATGTGATTCCCTTGGGACATTCATGACCAGATTACTAATAAGCTCACCTTTTCATAACACGAACAATGTTTTTGGCTGGTCTATTTCTGTGTAGGGAGGATGACATTTTCTCTGGAATTACAGATGGCATTAAAATCTAAGGTGAAGCCATTCTTTCTCTGTCTCTCTCGAAAATAAAAACCAAGACTTGAAAAAAAAAAACATCATTTCTGATAAATTCCAAAGCAATATTTCTCCTTTTCTCTTGAAATTTTGAAAACCTAATAAACTAAAATATTGACTAAAATGTAGCTCAGAACTTGTTAGCAATATGCTAAAACAATGCATGCAAAGCGTGTTAAAACAACAGTTTTAAAACACACCAGTAAATATATGGTAAAACATGACAGAAGATTTTATTAAAATACATTTCTGTCACTCTTTACCATTTAATACATCCTTTCTGAATAAAAGTACTGATTTGAACAAGTTTGGAACATCATTCATGTGTATTTATTATAAAACCATTTGTAAATGTGAGTGTATGTTTTATAATATGTCAGACAAATGTTAGCAACCAGCTAAAACATGTTAGCAACATTTTAATCTAGGAATTTACTGTCGCTTTTTACTATTTAATAATGTAATGATGTATTCATTATAAAAAAACATTTGAATATGTGCATTTAAAAAAACAATGTTTTAAAATATGCTAGAAAAACATTAGGAACAAGCAGAAACATGTTAGCTAATCAAATTAGAAACATGAAACATGTTAGCAACATTTTAATTCATGATTAATCAATTTATTTAAAAAAAACTATCACTTTTTACCATTTAACACCTTCTTGCTGAATTAAAATATTAATGTATTTAAAACCAAAACCTTTTCTAATTTCAAAGTTTGTAACAGTATGTGTTTATGTGCGTTTATTCCAAAAACTGCCACCTTTTTTATTTAATATAACCTTGTTTAATAAAAGTATTAATTTACTCAAAACCAAATCTCTTACTAACCCCAAAGTTTGTACCCTAACCTCAAAGTATCTACCCTAACATGTCAGCAGCAACAAGCCAAAACTTATTAAAAACATCTTCAAAACATGCTCGCCACATTTTAATCAATTTATCATTTTATTTTTTAAATTACTGTGAATTTTTACAACTTTATATATACTTGCTGAATAAAAGTATTAATGAAAATGATTCTAAAAACATTCGTAAAAGTGAGTGTAAAAAAACTTTAAACAGACTCCATTAAACAGTAATGGTCAAATAAACCCTTGACTTACTGTAGTGTCATTTGTAGTGACATAAACCAGAACCTCAGTCGTGCTTCTTCCACTGACGTATCTGTAGCAGTTCCACACACAGGCAATAAGGTATGCCTAGAGAGAAAGAACAGCCGTCGATGATGCTAAATAAAACACCACCATAAATCATACACATATGTCTGAGCAATAAAAATGAGCCACAAGTACTGTAGCTCATCTGCACGGTTTGATTTACGGATAGCAAAGAAATATAACAAGAACATGAGACAAATATCAAGAAATAAATCTGTTAAAAACAAAAACTCAAAAATTATATTTGCTTTTTGTTCAAACTACTTATTTTAAAATGAGCACAAATGTTGATTTTTTTTGTGATAACTTAATCTTTTTATGTTCAATCCACTCAAATAAAAAAAATTATGAATTAACTTAATTTCTTTATGCTGTCCCAAAAATATACACACACAAAAAATGACATTTATTCAAACTACTTGAGCTGAATCCTTCAACAATTCTTGAGGTTTTCTGGGACAACTTAATTTTTTTATGTTCAATCCACTTAAATTTGTTATAGTAATTTAATAAGTTGACTTAATTCCTTTATGTTGTTCCAACACAAATCGATTGTGTGGAACCCAGCATATTTTATAGTGTATATTTAATCCGCTTATATATATACATGCATACATGCATACATACATACATACATACATACATACATACATACATACATACATACATACATACATACATACATACATACATACATACATACACACACACACACAGTTACACGTCTGATAGTAAATCATACTAAATGTCTACTAGTTTAGGTCCATTAGGATTACCTAAATGATTTACATTTTCTAATTGCCAGAATAATGAGAGAACTTTTTTTTTTTTTAGAATTGTTTATTAATTTCTAGACAGTCAAAAGTTTACATACATTTCCTTGGTATTTTCTTTTTATCTTTGCTGTTAAACTGTATAACTTTGGTCAAATGTTTTGGGTATCCTTCCACAAGCTTCTCACAATAGTTTGCATGAATTTTGGCCCATTCCTCCTGACAGAATTGGTTTAACCGAGTCAGATTTGTAGGCTGTCTTGCTAGCACAAGCTTTTTCAACTCAAATTGAAACAAATTTTCTATATTTCTACATAATGTACTTTCTTCATGATGCCATGTATGCTGTGAAGTGGACCAGTCCCTCCAATAGCAAAACAGCCCCACAACATGATGCTGCCTCCCCCATACTTCACAGTTGAAATGGTGTTCCTAGGCTTGTGAGCTTTCCCCTTTATCCTTCAAATGTAACACTGGTCATTATGGCCAAACAGTTCAATCTTAGTTCCATCAGACCACAGGACATTTCTCCAAAATGTCTCTCCCAGTGTAATTTAGCAAAGTGTAATCTGGCTTTTTTTGTTGATTCTGGCTTGTTGATTTTCCCATGTTGTCACACAAGGAAGCAGTGTGTTTGAGGTTTTCCTTAAATACTATTCTACAGTTGTGCCTCCAATTAACTCAAATGTTGTCAATAAGCCAATCAGAAAAGTCCAAAAACCTTGACACCATCATCTAAGCTTTTTCAGAGGCATAATAATCTTATTGTATGTACTTGTCAAGAAAAATTTTACATACAATCATTTTTATTACTGCAAATTGGCTATAAATATGGACAGACGAAGTCTTACTTTATTATGCTTTGTTATTTGTTGGGTTTGTTAGTCTTAGGTTAGCGTTGGATATTTGTTGGAGAACGTGTGTTTTAATTCTTTATTCGCTTTTGTTTAGTCATAAATAAATTTAGTTTAGACTAATCTGGAATCACGCATCCTCTTTATGCTGTGTTTCCTTGTGGATTAAAAGTTTTGAAAAAAAGGGGGTTGTTACACCAAGGGATACTCCAAAGAGGGTTAGCAAAGAATCAGGGTCTTTACTGATTTTGAGGGCTTTAGTAAATGCATCAAAAATACCTGACCAAAAGGTGGCGTGACCAAATTTTTTTGCAGTTTGATGAAAATCAATTCCATCATGACAAATCACAAAATGGTCAACCAAATATCTGATTTTACCATTTTATATATATATATATATATATATATATATATATATATATATATATATATATATATATATATATATATATATATATATATAATTATTATTTATATTATTATTATAATTATTTTGGCATCACTGTCGCAGTGGGTAGCACGATCACCTAACAGCAATAAGGTTGCTGGTTTAAACTCCGGCTGGGGCAGTTGACATCTCTGTGTGAAGTTTACATGTGTTCGCGTGGGTTTCTTCCAGGTTCTCTGGTTTCTACCACAGTCCAAAGACATGCGCTATAGGTAAGTTGAATAAGCTAAATTGGCTGTAGTGTATTAGTGTAAATGCAAGAGTGTATGGGTGTTTCCCAGTGTTGAATTGCAGCTGGAAGGGCATCTGCTGTGTAAACATATGCTGGATAAGTTGATGGTTCATCTGTGGAGACCTCTGATTAATAAAGGGACTAAGTCGAAAAGAAAATTAATAAATGAATTAATTATTAATAGTAATAAAAATAATTATTATAATAACTTCTTACATTTTTAAAGCACTTTTCAAGACACTCAAAGCACTTTACACAATGGGAGGGGATCTCCTCATTGACTCGATGGCAGCCATTTTGCGCCAGACACAAACCAGCTGACCAGTTTGGCCAGGATGCCGGGGTGAAACCCCTACTCTTTTTCCAAGGACATCATGGGATTTTTTATGACCACAGAGAGTCAGATACCTCGGTTTAACATCTCATCCGAAACACGGCGCTCACTGAGCAGTATAGAGTCCCCATCACTATACACGAGCATTAGGACCCACACAGACCACAGGTTGGGCGCCCCCTGCTGGCCTCACTAACACCACTTCCAGGAGCAACCTGGCTTTCCCATGTGGTCTCCCATCCAGGTACTGACCGGGCGCAGCCCTGCTTAGCTTCAGTGGGTGACCATGTGAGAGTTGCAGAAAGCTAGCTGCCAGCGAATATTAATATTATTATTATTATTATAATGCAAAGAGGTACACAAATGACATGGAGTCAAATGCAAATGAAAAACAGAAAAAAAGTAAATAACAGAAAAATTAAAACAGTCAGGTAAAGCCAGGTGTGTGTGTGCTTGTGTGTGTGCGCATGTCAAGGTAACTGGATGGACAGGTTAAACTATATAATCAAAAGAACATTAAAAAAAACATACAACATCATTCAAAAAACGAGGCAGAATAATATAGATATAAATAGAACACATAATAGATAGCAAGAATTGTATAGTTTAACACATTTACCACTTGCTTCAATAATAATGTTCATTCTCTCAGTGAATGAAACATGCCATTAAATTCAAGCGTACAGTACAACAGCGCGGAGGCAAACTAAGAGGTTAATTTTAGCACAGTGTTTATCCCAGCCCAGTAATCTGCCTCTCTCTAATGCGTGCAGGCTGTCATAAAGCGATTTGTATCACATCTGAAGTCTACTGGAAAAGTCAGCCTTCTAGAAGGACACAGGGTTTCGTCCGAAGCACTTGAGTGTGAAGTCATCTTACAGGCCACTGTGCATCACATCAAGCTATAGTGAACCCAAATTTATCTTACAGATCATAATAAAAGAAAGTGGGGTCCTGCATGTCCACCAAACAGTGTGAAATTTGTAGTTTTACGTATATATCTTAATTGTAGCAAATTAATACCCATTCTTAAATTCCAAAATCCATTTTTAGTATATACGGTTTCAGTTGAGTGAATGAAACATCACTATTATAGCAGAAAAACAGCTTGTAAACTGTAAGTATGTCACGTTCTGTAGCATTACATTTCCCTTAGGCAAGTCGTTCGGTGCTGGTTTGCTGGAGAAATAAACTCCATATTTGGACATTTTTAATTAATGTTAGGGGCGACTGCTTGTGTTTAATTAAAACTAACTTATGAAATCTCCTATTTTAGTTCATTCATTCATTTTTCTTCAGCTTAGTCTGATTTATCAGAGGTCACCACACCGGAATGAACCACCAACTATTCCAGCATATGCAATGGATGCCCTTTCAGCTGCAACCAAGTACTGGGAAACACCCATACACTCTCGCATTCACACACCCACTCATACACCACGACCCATTTAGTTCATTCAATTCACTTATAGTGCATGTCTTTGGACTGTAGGGAAACCTGGAGCAGCCAGAGCAGCCATTTGGCACTTATTATTTGGATATTAATGTAAAGCTGCCATTTGTGCAGTTTAAATGTCTGCATACACTTTATTTTAAAGAGCTGATTTTTATATCTAAAAGAAACAGAATTTTATAGTTAGCTCTTTTTTGTTAATTGTAACCTTTAATGATTTTAAACTCATGTACAATTAATGGCTCCATATACACTCAAAAATTGATTTTTGCTGTGTGTTTAAACTATCTGTTTAAATTGAGCTGAAACAAAACAATTCTGGAGATTTTTTGGGGAAACATAATTGTTTTATGTTCAATCCATTTCAATTAGTTAATGGACAAATTTAACTTAATAGATTTGTACACCGTAAAAAGTGATTCGTTACTTTAAGCGAGTAAACCTAAGAGGCCTTATAAGCAACAAGTTGACTTTATAAAAGTAAACCCATTGTCACTTGGGACTGTTAAGCTGAATTTTTATAATTATGCTTATTGTACTCACTTTTTAAAGTCAACTAATCTTTTTTTACAGTGTCAGACTATTTCAGCATGTCTGTTTTCAAATAATTACTGCAATTATTACAATATTACATATTTAATGCTTCATTAAGTCTACAAAATTATAGCCTGGATTGAATTTAGAAGACAAACTGGAGTCTGGAAGAGCAGATTTATTTTAGTTACTGTCATTTTGCTAGATACAGAAAAGCTGGAAAAAAAACAAATATAATAAATTTGTATTAAAAAGTGTTTTTTTAAGTGAATATAATTTGCATAATAATATAAAATAAGTCAAGTTAACAGCTCCAAGTTACAAGTTTACTTACATTAGTTTTTGTAAAGTCAACTTGTTGCTTTAAGGCAATTGGTTTACTCGCTTTAAGTAACTAATCACTTTTTACAGTGTACTGTGACAGCATGGATGAATTGTAAGCAACTCTTTATTTTCCCCACAATCGATTTCTGTTGGGACAAAATGAAGGAATTAAGTTAACCTATTAGGTTTTACAAATTTAGGTAGATTGAACATAAAACAACTAAGTTGTCCTCTCAAAAAAACTCTCTTTAAAAAAACTTTAAAAAAAACTCTTTTTAAATAAGTAGCTTGAACAAACAGTGCAGTTCTCAGCATTTGATTTCTTATCCATAAAAAAAGTAATTATAATTTAGTTTCATTTTAACATGAGACGCAATGTGTTTTAATAAAAATTACGTAACTTGTGTATTCCATTAAACCTCAAGAAAGTACTAATGTTTTGTGTGTTACCTTGAAAGCTAAGATGCATCCAACAAAGAGGAGCACTGCTAGTACTAGGCACATGTTGTTTGTGGACATCAAGTCCTCTTTGTATGGAAAGGTCCCAGGCTGTTAAAACAGAGACACACTAAGTCAATACCAGAATAACATACTAATAAAGTTCTTCAAAGTTCTTAAGATGCTTACCAACTGCTGAAGATAGTCCTGTATGGTATTGGGGTAAACCACAACACTTATTGCTACCAGTGTGTTAAGAGCAAAGTCGAAGATCTGGTAGCAAAAGAAAGGAATGATCCATGCAGCATGTTGCTGAAAGGTCAGAAAGAAATTATGTTGGATTTTTATTTGCATTCATTACATGAATTAACCTTTAAAAGGACCCTTCAAGGAAAAATGAGAGTTCAGTCTAATTTTCTAACCCTCATGGATGTGTTCAATGTAAAAACATGATGGATTGAAACGGCACGTGCTGGTGATTAAATAATGGCAGAACGCTCATTTATGTTTAGGGTCAATTTAAGAAATAAGTTGTCAAACCTTATATGCACCGTAGGTTGCCATTCCACAAATCAAAATCATCAGCAACGAGATTGCAGCAGCAATGCACATGTCTGTGGAGGAAAAAACACATGACATCAGATTTGTGTAAGGGATATTGCGCCTAATAGCTGACATTCACCAATCCTCTTTAACCAAGGATTGAATGGACATATAGATTTTTTAAAAACTTAATAATGAATTCTTACACATTAAATCACTGAATTTAAATTTTATTATTAATATAATTTTGATATACATCATTTGGCATTCAGAACACTGTGCATTTCAGCTCACTGCAAAAAAAAAAAAAAAACTCATGTTTTAATTGAATGTCAACTAAAATGCTACAGAATTGAACAGTTTTGTAAAATTCATGTAATGCTAAGTCAGAGGTTTCCTTGTACAGTTTACAGTTTCGGCTCATAAAGAAAGCCCAGATAAACCTAGCTCAGGTTAAACTCTTTTTAATCTTCAATCTATAAAATATATTTTATAGATTGGATAAAAGCGTCTGCTAAATGACTAAATGTAAAATGTAAATGTATATTTGAATAGTATTCAAATGCAAGCTCAATGAAAATCAGTAAATTCGTGTAATTACCAAGTACTAACATTTTAAGATTTAAAATGTGTATGTAGATGACTATGAAAGTGTGGTTAAAATTAAATGTAAAGAATGTTATACTAAAATGTTTAAGCAAATTCATTGAAATATGATCTATGTGGACTGGAATTCATTTTATTAAGCATAATCTGCTACAGTAGTTTGAAGTGGATCATCAATGTAGTTCTAAAACTATGGAGAAACACTCATTCCTGTAGGACAATATTGAAAAAATGTTGTGTACTGTATTATTTGTCTAATTTTAAATGCATTAAAGTAAATTTTGTGTACAGTATGTGTAGCCTACTGTCCATTTAAATCTATGTAAAATGTAAAACTATTCTGAAAACACATTGCAACATCTATGTAAAACTAAAAAATGTGTTGTGGAAATTTCTATAAAAATGCATTCAAATAGATCTATGTAACCTATTTTTAAGCACTGAAACACTTATCAAAATCCATTGAAATTAAAATATTATTATTTATATAAACTATTATTATAATTATACACATTAAGAATAAATCACTCTCTATTCCCGAATGTGCCTGCTAACTTTATTGAATAATTCATTTAAGAACAAACTCACTAATTCATCAGAAGAGTCAAGAGACTGAAATATAATCCAGTAACACTGCCTGTCTACATTAAACTTTTAGCGGTTCAGCCTAGTGCCCGTAAGACCTCACAGACACTGGTGAACTAGTTACCTGACCTACTATCTGTAGTGCTTTGGTTCAAAACAACTGCCAGACTCTCGTTTTCTCCAAAACACAGGCACATATCTCATATTATTGAGCAATACAAACAAAGCAGCATGCACAGAAGCTTTATGGATAACAATGAAGGCTGTAAGCTGAAAGTGGAGGAAACATAAGAGACTGTTTGAGTATTGTGGAAAGGGCATATTTTGAATTGCTATTATACTGCTATGGAAAAAAATAATAATAATAAGAGCAGGTTGAAAATTCTCAATTTCTGCTGGATTAACTATTTATTCATTATTGACCATTTACTGATTTATTTGTTTATTTTCTTATTTATTAAGGATTTATTAATATATTTACTTAAGTATTTATTTACTTATATTTATTTATTTACTTATTTAATTATTTATGTACTTTTAATTTAGTAATGTATTGTTATTTATTTATTTACTTATTTATATAATTATGCATTATTCACTAATAATATTTTTTATTATTTTTTTACCCATTTGTTGTTTTCTTATTTGTTATTTACTTTTAGTTATTATTTACTTATTAATTTACTTATTTATTAAATTATAACTTTTTTTACTTATTTATTGTTTACTTATTTGCTATTTATTTATTTATTATTATTTACTATTTATTTACTTACATTTATTATTTACCCATTTCATTATTTAACTTTTCATTTTTATTTACTTATTTGTTTACTTTTAATAAGTTATGTACTTATTTACTTAATTATTTATTTACTTATTTGAAATGTATGCATGTACTGTTATTTACTTATTAATTTACTGATATTTAATTGTTTAAGTATTTATTTATTTACTTATTTGCAATTTACGTATGTACTGTTATTTACCTAATTATCATTTACTTTAATTATTTACTTTTTATTAAATTATTTAAGATTTACTTATTTAATTACATATTATACATTTATAATAAATTTAATTATTTATTTACTTATCTTTACCTACTTGTTATTTATTTATTTATTTATTAATTATGTACTTACATTTAATTATTGACTTAGTGAGTTATTGTTAATTCACTCACATTTATTTATTTAGTTATTATTTTTTAACTTATTTATTAAATTATGTATTATTTACTTATGAATTTAGTTATGTATTATTCACTTATATTTAGTTATTTATTCATGGTTTACTTATTTATTATTATTTACTTATTTAATAATTTACTTATTTATGTAATTATTTAAATATTTTTTTACCTATTTATCATTAACTTATATTTAATTATTTATTTATGTACATTTTTATAATGTATGGATTTAATACAAATATGATAAATGGTAATAATTGTTTAATATTATTAAGGTTATTTACAGGTTTTTTTTTTCTTTTCTTTTTTTTTAAGAAACTTCACAATTGCCATGTTGTTATCGGAGTATAACATATCTCTGAATGCCATGATTGGCCAATGACAATTAAGTATTCCAGAAAGCCATGTAACAACAAATCTTACCATGTTATAATTTGTTGTGACTGAAAATCAGGGATATTTCACCCAATTTTCTGAACTCTTATAAAGTGCAAACACTTAATGCATCGAATATAAACAGATCTAAAAAACAAAATAGCACTTTTAAACTATACACAAAAACTAAATGCAAAGCAAATGTCATGAGTACAATATGTGTACATCCACATTTTACATAAGCATAAATCATAAATCCAGCTGAAGCGAGAACTTTCAAGCATTTTCCATAGATGTACATTTCATGACAGTTCATGCATAGTTAATATTCCAGAGCTTTCCTACTCCCTGACACTAATAAAAGGGAAACTGTAATACATTCATTAGAGCTTCTCATGCTCTCTGTATTAAAAGTATATCGAGAGCGCTGGTGCTGATCTTTGAAATATATCTCTCCACTTAATCCACTCCATATGTTAAAGTACACCACCACACTGTACAGCCTGTCCACTTCAGCGCCCATTATTAAACTGGCGTCGTATAACAGAGCCCAGATGCTGGAAGCCCACACCAATTACAAGGAATCAGAGTTTAAATCCTGCTGATGGGAGTCGCTTTTAATCAAAGTCACCAGAGCCAGAATCTATAGGCACACAGACAGCAGTGCTGAGACCACTGGGAAATATGATAGCGTGTTCATGCGGAATTTAAAAAGCTGATGATGATCTGTTTGCTCGTGCAGGAATTTAAAGGGACATTTCACCCAAAAATGTACAATTCGGCCACTCGTCATTTACTTGTTTCAAACCTATTTGACTTTATTTCTTCTGTTGTACACAAAAGGAGATATTTTGAAGAATGCCAGCCAGAAACCTGTAACCATTGACTTCTATAGTTTTTCCTATGGGCATCAATGGATACAGGTTTTCAGCATTCTTAAAAACATCTTCTTTAGTGTTCAACAGAAGAAAGAAACTCATTAAGGTTTGGAACCACTTGAGGGTGAGTAAATATTGAGTAAAATTTCATTTTTGGGTGAACTATGTCTTTAAAGTGTGCTTGAACCAAAAGCTGCAACCATTTTTTTTCCTGTATTGTGATGCAAATCGAATAGAGAAATTGAATTTTGACTGAGAAAACAGTGGGCGTGGCTTGTTTTTTCTACTGGAAGCTGATTGGATGCAGTAAAGTAGACATTTCATTAAGAAAGATTGGGAAAAGAGCTTCAGGAGAGTTATTATATCCTAACAGACACCACATCCCCATCATTTCTGTTTCTTGTCAATGTGATGTCAAAACTGACAGTCGGAGGGGTGTGGATAAGCCCAATATGCTTAGACTGACGTAATCTGAGAATTTAACCGAAAACAAACAGGAAGTGGATTTTCAGGGTAAAGTCTAGAAAGGATACAAGGCTGGCCAGTGTGGTGAGAAATCGAGACCCCCTTTATTTAGCAGTCAGTTAAATAGACTTTGCCATTAATTTAGCTGCTCAAGCGTAAAACGAGACAAAAAACCTTTTACTCGCACACGCGCCTGTCAGAATTGGCAGGCTAGTTCAGAAACTCCATTGAAAATACTGGGGTAAAAAAAATGTTCATATTTTAAAGACATGGCGGGAGAAACATAATTTAATGCAGTGCTTGTTATATACTGTCTGGACTCTATAGCTGGGTGGTTTTCGGTTTTAAAGAAAACAGACCTTAAACGCGCCGATTTTGCAATGGCATACAGTTCCCTGAAGCGCTTAACCCAGGTTACTGACAAATTAAAAGTCCTTTAGCATATTTCCGCATATACCCTATTGTAGCCAGGAAGCTAATGGTAGGGGTATGTTTACGCTAGCATGATTATGATTAGGCTAACTAAACAGTTTAAAAGATAAATGCTCATTTTCTTAACCTATGCATGCCTTTAATTATACACAAGTATAAGGAATGGTCAATATAACATTTACACATGCCAATTTAATGGTGAAATCAAATGGTCCCGCTTTTTACATTATTAAATTATGAAGGTGATTTCATATACTGTACTTTAAAATTAGACACTACAAACTATACCTATTACAACTCCAATAAAACAATAATATCACTCTGGGTCCTATAGGCGGACTCAATTATCAGGGGGGACTTAATTTCTCATGACAGCGGAAGCGATATGCACATCAATATAGCAGCATTTTTTCTGACGCTGTGTAACAATAATTAATATTTTTACAGTACTGTGACGATTGGGTTTAGGGTTGGGGTAGGGGTAGACATTTAAAATACAATTTATTGGGTAATTTAATAAATGATATAAATAATACTCGGCACATCTACTGTTTTTACGTTACTGTGACGGTTGGGTTTAGGGTTATGGTAGGGGTAGATATTAAAAAATACAATTTATTGGGTAATTTAATAGATAACATAATTAATTCTTTGTACAATTATTGTTTTTACGTTACTGTGACAGTAAGGTATAGGGTTGGTGTGGTGGTAGACATTAAAAACATACAATTAATAGGAAATTTAATAAATAATATAAATCACTTTCGTTAACTTCCAGCCGCAACCATATCTGTTCTAACAACAACCCATTTAAGATCATTTAAGACCCATTTTAAATCAAGATTACAAGGGCAAAAAAAATGTTCCCGTACAAAAATAAACATGGACAGATGAATCGTTCCCCACAAAACTAGCAATGTGAGCTAACAAAACGAAAACAGTTGGTTTTGATTTCACCTGTACTTTACTAACTGTTGTAAATGGAGGATTAAATGACTCAGACGTACTTGCATCATCCATGACGTCCAAATCTGTGCCAAGTTCGGAGCTGGTGAGGTGGTAGTGGTACTGGACCGGGTCATTAAGAGCCGATAACAGGATTAACAAAACCACTGCATTGATGAGCTGTAAATAACAAAGATTATTCAGTTGAGTTTTTCCTGATATCGGTACCGATTTTAACAAATCACCATTGGCCGTTATTGTTGCTTGATTACTGGTATACAATTAGGCCTGTCACAATAATCGATACATCAACTCATGGCACAACACATGGACATGACCTCAATCATTTCTGGTGATGCAATCTATATCGCCCATGCATAAAAACCAATTCTAGCAACATTTTAGTTGATTGTGCAACATCTCTAGCTCTATCGGAGGTGTCAGTATGGCTAAAAACACTATAGTATTTACTATAAATTACTATAGTATATTTTCATGTGAGTGTCTGACAAATACAAATAAATCTTGTTGCAGATGTCACAGCCTCTGTTACTTTTTACCTTGCACTTTTTTGTTAACATTTATTTGTTTAGGATATGCGTTTTCACTTTCTGATTCCAATAATTGTTAAATAGTAAAATGACGAAAATTAAATGAAATATTCTTAAAAATAAAATATTGTGTGTTCTTTCAAGCAGTGTACTTCCATTATATGTCGCATGTAGACATCACCTATATGCCATAAAACTTCAGGTTAAATATGTTTATGTATAATAATTTATATTTGATTGTAACTTTAACTTAACTTGATTGTAATGTATTAATGTGCACCTTTGTAAAGCTGCTTTGAAACAGTAATTAGTGTAAAAAGCCCTATACAAATAAACTTGAATTGAATGATATTATATTGTCATTCTGGCATTATATAATAAGTGGCATAAAATGGTCTTAAAATGACAATAATATTGTTTATTGTAATATATTTAAGAGCAATATATCATACAACAAAATATAAATATCGTGACAGGCCTATATACAATGCTTGCTAGTTTTTGCTACAATCAACTATTTTCACTTAGGGGAATTTCATAGACACAATGTAAAATCAGTTTCTGACAAACTATTTTGTAAAGATTATTTTTTTTGCCAATTATTTTATCCCTATAAAAACTCAACAGACAACTCATTGCTTTCCCTCAATTTCTGAAAAAAAAAACATCGCTGTTGGCTTTTTTCATGCTTTTGCCAGTGTGTCAATTGGTTTTACAATGTCAAATATGCTCATGAAAATAAAATGTCAAAATATGAGGGAAATAATGCGGTCATGATTTCTGTTAAAATAAAACAACATACTTGACTATATATCATAACTCTGACGATATTTCAATATATAAATTTATGTATTATAAATGTTATTACATTTTAACTGATTAAAAAAACTGACAAATAAGTAAAAACAAATTGTTATATGTCATTTCATAACATGTCATCAAACGATACAGATTTTATATAAGCAAAATGTTTTATCAGTAGCTATATCAATTATTATTTGCACCAAATTACATTTTAAAGTGTGTCTTTTGTAAATGATTGTAAAAACACAGCATAATTTTCTTATATACTTATAAAAACATTATTAAATAAATAATAACACAATTAAACAGGATGCAATCTAATGTATAGGGCAAAAAACAAATATGTATTACCCTTTTTATAGTATATTTGACTCATACACACACATTGTTAAGTCCCATCTGCCATATTACACTCTAGCTCCCACTATCAGACATTTATATTAAAAATTAAATTAATCTGTGACACACATTGCCTTTATCCTCACTCCTCGTCTATGAAAATGTTTTGTCTGTCGCAGCATTTTCCTTTCTGTGTCAATAAACAACACCGTTGCTTTTAGGTTAATGAATTCTGCCGTTCCTTGCGCTCCAGAAGAAACCGGAGGTGACTAGAATATTCCAGGCATTCGTACAGTTTGATAAGACAAAACGTCCTTTAGAAACACTTTCAGACATAAGATGAAGGATTATTCTTTCTATTTATACCATGCAAATGAGCTCAGGTTTCTAAAACAAAGCCTCAATTTTTAGATTACGACTATAAATACATATGACAAAATAAGAGCAAACATGATTTGTTAAGTAATACTTTAGAGGTTACATGCAGTTCTTATATTTGGCATCAAATGGTATAAGAGAGTATTATTAGGCAACGTATACGAGTGTAGAATGTATTTAGGAAGTCAAAAAATACTGTATAGATTGAGCACACGCAAGATTTTTAGACAACCATTTTTTATAATTTATGATGACACATTACAAACACGTTTATTTTCAGTTTTGGTTTTTCATATAGCGTTTTATTAGCGCATTTTATTGAAAACATTAAAAAATACACTTTTATTTGTTTTTATTGTCACACTTTATCAATTGGTTAACAAATTAGTTTTTTTTCCTATTGTATTGAGGCAGTTTTATTTATATCTATATTTGGAATATAATACAATATAATATATATATATATATATATATATATATATATATATATATATATATATATATATATATATATATATATATATACACATACACACACACACACACACACACACACACACACACACACACACACACACACAAACACACAGTTGAAGTCAGAATTATTAGCCTCCCTGAATTATTAGCCCCCCTGTTTATTTTTTCCCCAATTTCTGTTTAAAAGAGAAGATTTTTTTTCAGCACATTTCTAAACATAATAATAGTGATTTCTAATAACTGATTAATTGTATCTTTACCATGATGTAAATAATGTAAATAATATTTAGATATTTTTCAAGACACTTCTATACAGCTTAAAGTGATATTTAAAGGCTTAACTAGGTTAATTCGGTTAACAAGGCAGGTTTGGGTAATTAGGCAAGTTATTGTATAACGATGGTTTGTTCTGTAGACTATCGAAAAAATGTATAGCTTAAAGGGGCTAATAATTTTGACCATAAAATGGTGTTTAAAAAATAAAAAACTGCTTTTATTCTAGCCGAAATAAAACAAATAAGACTTGATCATTAAACAGACATTATCTAACAAACATTATCAGACATACTGTGAAAATTTCCTTGCTCTGTTAAACATCATTTGTGAAATAATAGAAAAAGAGAAAAAATTCTAATAATAATTCTGACTTCAACTGTGTGTGTGTATATATATATATGTGTGTGTGTGTGTGTGTATATGTGTATATATATATACACACATACACATGACATCACTGCAGAGATGTTATTGGTTAAATGTCGGCAAAGTAGAACATGGAAGCAGCTTAAAGCGGAAAGTTCGAGTAAGTCTGTGGTCTGGACGTATTATTAAGTCAATGACGACAACATTGCCATAGCACACTGTGAGATATGTAATCTTGGGATCGAAAGAGGTGGAAAGGAAAAGGCTTCATTTGACAAAACAAACATTTGTTGAATGTTAAAATATGGTGAATTATAAAAAACATAAGAAATATCCTGCTTCTGTTTCTTCCCTCTTCTTTATTCTTTGTTTATGTACTATAGAAGTATGGGATCAGGTTTTGGTATCAGCAGATACTTAAAAGTCAAATGACTCCGACTGGAGGGCATAAAAACCTGATCGGGACATCCATAATTTTAACTTATAACAATGTGACTGGGGCTGGCATTTAGCTTGTCGTTCTCAAAAAATCTAACATAAACAAGGATAAAGTCCTACAATTTAATGATAGAAAGTATCTTTGATCACTGTCAGCTTCTCTATTAAATGATGTCACTTTTGAGTCATTGCCTTAAATGTGTATTGCACACATTTTATGTTAGATTTGAGGCAAATGTGACACTGACAGAAACATGGGGACAAATGTAAATGTATTTGTGTTATATATTTGTAGTATTTAATTGTTGAATTTGTTGATAATTTTGTGTTTTTAATTAATTGATGTGAATTATATCAACTCAAATGTGATATTTCTGAAGTATTTTTTTCTAAATAACAGTTTTTAGCATAACAAAACTACTGAACAATGGCAGGGTTTGTATATTTTTAAAGTGTTTTTAATCAAGAACAAAAATCTGAAAAGCAGATAAATGACATTCCTGTACAGAAAAACTCACAGAAATTTGCACATTTAAAACTAACATTTTAGAAGACATACTACTGTTTACTAAAATACTAATATATAAACTACTAATTACATACTATTTTAATGTATTTGTTTGCAATTAAACGTATGCGAAAAGGAACTTAAATAATAAACAAATAATTATTACCTATGAACCCTATTAAAACCTGTTTCGTGTTGTTTAATAAAAGAGTTGCCTGGACTCACCATATACCAGATGCCCAGGATAATGGTGCCCGTCCGTACATGACAACACAGGCAGCAGCTGGTCGTGTACCATCTGTCCCACGGCGAAATCATCTTTCCTTCCAAAAACGCAGCACGACTAGTACATGTATGCCTTTTCAGCTCGATGCAGTATTGTTATCTTAAATATATTTCGATGGCTTTTTGGGAGCTACGGCTCATTCGGTTGCCGTTCAGTCCTGAGTTGTTTCCGTTTCCCGTCTCCGACTCCGTCCCGTTCGCTTGCTCGAATTAATCCAGCTCATCTCTGCACCACGTGACCGGAGGGGGATTTAGAGTGACGTCAGGATGCAAGTCGCTCTTCCAGAACAGACGAGCTCTCATAAAACATTTAAGATACAGTCCTTTGAACACATCTTATACTATTGTCATCCTGCGTGGGGCAAGTTGTTGCAGTGGAACATTTTTAAATAAAAGTACGTTAAAAAAATTATAACAAAAATAATCGTTATTAAAAAAACTGTACTAACACTGAGTATTTTTTATCATTAATAATAAATTATATCCACCTTTTAATATTTAAACTATATAAATGAACATTCTAAAGACAAAAAAAGTACAGAAAAAAACAATAACAAAAATAATCATTATTATATAATAACACTATTAACACGAGACCTGACAAAAGTCAGGTCCCGGAGTTCATCAAGATTCTTTGGATTCATCTTCAATGCCTCCTCCTTCATCTTTCCCCAGACATGCTCAATAATGTTCATGTCTGGTGACTGGGCTGACCAATCCTGGAGCACCTTGACCTTTTTTGCTTTTAGGAATTTTGATGTGGAGGCTGCAGTATGAGAAGAAGTGCTATCCTGCTGAAGAATTTGCCCTCTGCTGTGGTTTGTAATGTAATGGGCAGCACAATTGTCTTGTTACCTCAGGCTGTTGATGTTGCCATCCACTCTGCAGATCTCGCACACCCCAAACTGAATGTAACCCAAACCATGACTTTTCCTTCACCAAACTTGACTGATTTCTATGAGAATCTTGGGTTCATGCCGATTCCAATAGGTCTTCTGCAGTATTTGTGATGATTGGGATGCAGTTCAACAGATGATTCATCAGAAAAATCCACCTTTTCCTATTGATAATTTTTAGCTCTACACACCAACACAATGGCATTTGTGAAAAACAAACAAGATGTGCTTTAACTGTCTTCTTTAATTTAATTTGAAAAAAAAATCTTTTATTTCCCCAAAATTCTACACACAATAGCCCATAATGACATTGTGAAAAAAGATTTTTGAAATTGTTGCAAATTTATTAAAAATAAAAAATAAAACTGAAAAATCACATGTACATCAGTATTAACAGCCTTTGCCGTGAAGCTCTAAATTGAGCTCAGGTACATTCTGTTTCCACTGATCGCCTGTGGTAAATTCTGTTGATTAGACATGATTTAAAGGCATATATACACCTGTCTATTTAAGGTCCCAGGGTTGACAGTGCATGTCAAAGCACAAACCAAGCATGAAGACAAAGGAATTGTCTGTAGACCTCCGAGACAGGATTGTCTTAAGGCACAAGGCTGAGGAAGGTTACAGAAAAATATCTGCTGCTCTGAAAGTTTCAATAAGCACAGTGGCCTCCATCATCTGTAAGTGGAAGATGTTTGAACTACCAGGACTCTTACTAGAGCTGGCCGGCCATCTAAGCTGAGTGATTGGGGGAGAATGGCCTTAGTCAGGGAGGTGATCAATAACCCGATGGTCACTCTGTCTGAGCTCCAGCGTTCTTCTGTGGAGAGAGGACAACCTTACAGAAGGACAACCATCTGTGCAGCAATCCACATATCAGGCATAGTATGGAAGAGTGGCCAGACAGAAGCCAATCCCCACCTGGAATTTGCCAAAAGGTATCTGAAGGACTTTCAGACCATAAGAAACAAAATTCTCTCGTCTGATGAGACTAAAATTGAACTCTTTGGAGTGAAAGCCAGGCGTTATGTTTGGAGAAAATCAGGCACTGCTCATCATCAGGCTAATACCATCCCTACAGTGTAGCATGGTGGTAGCAGCATCATGCTGTGGGGATGTTTTTAGCAGCAGGAACTGGAAGACTAGTCCGGATTGAGGGAAAGCTGAATGCAGCAATGTACAGAGACATCCTGAATGAAAACCTGCTTTAGACTGCTCTAGACCTCAGACTGGGGCGACGGTTCATCTTCCAGCAGGACAATGCACACTGCCAAAATATCAATGGAGTGGCTTCACGACAACTCTGTGAATGTCCTTAAGTGGCCCAGCCAGAGCCCAGACCTAAATCCTATTGAACATCTCTGGAAAGTTTTGAAAATGGCTGTACACCGCCGCTTTCCATCCAACCTGATAGAGCTTGAGAGATACTGCAAAGAGGAATGGGCAAAAATTCCTAAAGACAGGTGTGCCAAGCTGTAATGCAATAAACAAGTATTGAGCAAAGGTTGTTATACTTCTGTACATGTGATTTTTCAGGATTTTTTTTTTGTAATGAATTTGCAACATTTTCCAGAAATCTTTATTCACATTGTCATTATGGGGTATTGTGTGTAGAATTTTAGGAAATAAATAAATTTAATCCATTTTAAAAATAAAGTTGTAACAAAACAAAAAAATGTGGAAAAAGTGAAGCGCTTTGAATACTTTCAGGATGCACTGTATGTGCCTCCTACTTGTTAAGGGTCCAAAAGTAATAAGACAATTGGCTTCTAAGCTGTTCCATGGTTATTCCTACATTATCCCAATTACAATGAGCAGATAAAAGGTCCAGAGTTAATTTCAAGTGTGCTACTTGCATTTGGAATCTGTTACTGTCAACTCTCAAGATACAAAAAACTGTCACTATCAGTCAAGCAAGCCATTTTTAGGCAATTAGGTATTATTACAGCAAAAATATGAGAAATACCCATACAGTCTTGGAACAAGATTTATTGAAATCTCTAACTCGTTCAATATAATAACAATTAAAAATTTCTATAACAGGTCTGAGGCCAGTTTGAGAAGTTATTAATATATACAGTGACATCAAAGAAGTGACCAGACGAGACCTGATGTACGTGACAGAGAAAGACAGCAGATGGTCAACACTGAAGAGTGTGTGTTTGTGTGTGTAAGCCTCTGTGGGCGGCAGCTTCATCTCTGCATCAGGGGATTTACAGCTCACAGCCAATCAAGTACATTTAACAGCAGCAAAACAACATGGTGGCAAGAGAAATCTTCTCCGCTTCATCAGGAATTGTGACTATTTATATATATATTGCAAGATATTATGCGTAACTGTGCCTTTTCTGATTAACAACAATCATGAACAGCATTTATATGTGCCATCATGTGCAGAGGACACCCGCTAATATGCCATTGTGTAACAACAGTTTATGTAACAAAAAATCTTGTCAAGCATATTTAGAAGCGTTTGATGACAAGATTTTAACTCTTCATTTGCCACTAATGTTTTAGACATTTGTCTGACCAAAGAAATTAGATATTATTATAATAATTTCATATACTGTACTGTATATAATTCAATAATAACATAATAAAACACATAATAATAAATATTAGAATAATACTATAACTGTATACACACACACACATCTATTTTTTTAAATTGTATTTTTTTTATTTTATGCTAAATGGCCTTGTTACGTAGAAGACATTTTCATTAAAAAACTTAAATAAACAACAACAACAGTAAAACAATAACACATTTTTAAATCTCACCAACCCTAAATATTATCATTCATGCGTATATTTCTTTGTCAGGTTTTAACAGCAGTATGTCATGTCTAACGCAAAGGATGTTTGCTAAAACAATCAAAAACCCTTCATAACTCAATAGAAGAGGATTAATGTGCCAGAGATACGAAATGAAAAGAGAAAGCAGGAGTAGAGGTCAGTCTGTCTCTACATGTGACAAATCCTTGTCATGCAAATCCTAACCATCAGTTGTCTAGAACAAGTTTATTATTTTCTAGTGGACGCTTGTGTTTCTAATTCATATTGTAGGCATTCAGAGATGTTGTCAATATAAAGGCATTTATAATAATAGAATAAAGGCATGCTTGTGTAAGATTTCAATTTAATTTAAAATATTTGGTCAGAAGAAATGATAAAATACTATATGTAGCTTTAACAAGAAAAATTCTTTATGTTTTATTACAATGACCATAAAAAACCCCACTGTCCGTGTCTCTTTACTTTGGATTGTTTGATTACATTACATTTTTATGTTACATTTTACCTCAATACTGTTAGAATATCCAGAAAACCATAAATCATTTGCATCTTTGTTCTACTTTACTCTCTTATAGTAATTTGTTTGTTACATGATGTTTATGATGTGAATTCTTCTCAAGAGTTGTTTAAAGTCATCTTTTACATGGAGTTAAACAAAATCAAAGACTGTATTTATGCACCATCAAATGTGGTTTAATTGAAGTCAATGGGGCAAAAACAGCCACCAACAGTAAATTCGAGAGAAAAAACGAAAGCCAATGTTGTTACTAATCTTTCACATGTACAATGTGATAAAAGTCCACAATTACTTAATTACAATTTAGTAGTTTTGATCAGGACTGAGGTTGATTAACAAATTTATGAGGAAAAAAAAAGGTTGAAAAATAATAATCGAATGTATTTTTCCAGCAGTTTAATTCAGTGGATGTTTTCATCCGGAACACAATTATTTTTATTAATGTTAATAATTTTTTTTATATATTTCTTTGGCTACTGCTTTTTGATTGCTTCAAATCAGTCCAAATTTGCTTAATTTCAACTAGAACATCTGAAATATTACTCTTGATCTAATATTATTTTTAAAGATGTTTCATGTGGACAACTAGCATACATAATCATGTTCGAAAATTCCTTTTTAAAATGTGTTAGATAAGGAAAAAAGGATAGATATTTGTTTTCCTTAAGTTTTATACAGTTGAAGTAAGAATTATTAGCCCCCTTTGAATTATTATTATTTTTTTCCCAAATGTTTAAAAGAGCAAATGGTTTCTTGGAATGTTTGATAGTATTTTTTCTTCTGGAAAAAGTCTTATTTGTTTTATTTTGGTTAGAATAAAATCTGTTTTAATTTTTTAATAAACCTATCAAGGTCAAAATGATTAGCCCTTTTAAGCTATATATTTTTTCAGAAATCTACAGATCAAACCATCACTATACAATAACTTGCCTAATTACCCCAACCAGTGTAGTTAACCTAATTAACCAAGTTAAGCCTTTAAATGTCACTAAAGCTGTATAGAAGTGTCTTGAAAA